GCACACCGTAATTATAGTTATAAAATATGTGACTTATCTGAGAACATCACACCTGATTACAAGAGGCAATATTGCTTTTCTGGTGTTTAATATCAAGGAGTAAATAATCTATCGTTTGGTTAATTTTCAACATGCGCAAAAATGTAGTGTAATACTTGAGCTATAAACATTTTAAAGAAGTTTGTATGAAATGTCACACATGTTATGACGGTGACTCCTGCGGCGAGAGACTGAGACGATGTTTACTTTTAATACAGCAGGAGGAACGATAAAACAACCTGTTAATTATAATAATTGTTTTTAAGACTAAACTTTCAAAGCTGCTTCGTGTCTTTATTATTCTATAAACTGCAAGAATTCCCCTGTAATCCTTCCGCGACGCGCTGTTCACGTTTACACAATCCCCTGATGAGTATTTCCAGAATCCCTTGAGGAAGTTATACACCCAGAACATTGTTATGTATTTCACCAATTATACATAAACTATTTTGTTCACCATATCCGTTGTGACCGACACTTGTCGAGGAATTCAATGAGCGCATCACGTCGGACATCGGGTGAAATATTCAATAGCATAAAATGTTGGAGTAAAACTTCCTCAAGAGACCTCGTAAACTTATACATTACGGGAATTCGCCAACACACTGTACATTACGCCCATAGTGTAGAACGTTCCATTCCTCCATTAACATTATTTTTTTTCCACATCTTACATCGCTAGTGTTTCTTGTATGGACTAGTTTGTCACCCTGCACGAGTTTATCTCAACTTTGTCTAGATACTTACTACTACCACCGTCAAGCACAACCGCACTCCTGTGTCTACATTTAACACCTACTGTACGCCCTTTGATTCGGACCAGATAAGTCACACAAACACACAAAAAATAATAATAATAATATTCAGACAAAAAATACTGGAACAAGTACAGTTACATTTATTAACGTGCAACCCAACGTCTGATACAGTTAAACTATTTCACAATAATTCAGTCAGATCCACTCATCTTAGCAGTGCTGTACAGTCAAGATGCCAGAACAGGACAATGATGACAAATACATTAATAAAGTCGGATAAAACGAAACAAAGATTAGCCCCGCCTATTTTATATTCCCCGTCGCAAGAGATACAGGAGATAATAATTAATTACCTGTAGTCATTTATACTTATTCTTAAAATCAATACGCGCGCGCACACACACACACACAAAGAGAAATCCAACGTGTGTGTGTGTGTGTAGGTGGCGGAAAGTTGATCTGGATTGAGGACACACCCACGTATACATTATCTCCTCCCTTAGAAACTGTTAAATATCGAGCATGACTCAGGGTTTAGTACAGTATACCCGCGGGCCATTGCTCTCATTTACAGTATTACTTGAGGTATTTACCCGCTACACCAGGTCAACCAATACGTCTGTAAATGTCTCGTATGATCAACCAATACAAATAATCTCAAAAACTTCATAAGAGATATTGTGGAATGAAATGATTCTTCTCGCCATGGCTGTACCAGTGTATTTTGGGCGCCATTGTGACCGCTATGTCTGGGGTAGGTGACGGTAGCTATTTCAGGCACGCTCTCCCGAGAATCCACACCGTGATCTTTAAACACCGCTCTTAAAACTGTTGATCCAAGTGTTCCAGCCATGAAACAAATCGGTCAAGGAGACACCGACCTTTTATATAACCCGAAAAACGAAAGAAAATAATAGAATCAACTTTAAATTAGCCCCCCCCCTCTCCAGTTTATTTCAACTTAAGATTAAAACAATACTAACGCTGGGTTGTTTTATCATCAGGTGAAATAAACTGGAGTGCCTTATCTTCAGGTGACCAAAAGGAGGTGGGTGGGTGGGTGGGTGGGGGGGCATAACATAGTCTTCAATAAGGACAATTTTATAAGGTAAAGGTTGTAGAGTAGATGTGACATTAAGACCCAACCTACCCTTAAGAAACGACCTTAAACACAAGGACATAAGGTACGGATATTATGTACCAGGTAACCTCTGGCCTTATGTGAAAGCTGGCTTTAGCAGCGCCGGGCAACTAAGAGTTACACGTCTAGTACCAGTGGGAGGGAGGAAGAGGGAGGAGGGGAGGAGGAGGAGGAGGGAGGAGGAGGAGGAGGAGGAGGAGGAGGAGGGAAGAGGAGAGGAAGAGGGAGAAGGGAAGAGGAGAAGGGAGGGGAGGAAGGAGGGGAGAAGGGAAGAGGGAGAATGGAGGAGGAAAGAGGGAGAAGGGAAGAGAGAGAATGGAGGAGGAAGGAAAGAGGAGGGAGAAGGGAAGAGGGAGGATGGAGAAGGAAGGAGGGTGAAGGGAAGAGGGAGAATGGAGGAGAGCAGTACAACGTCACATGGAGAAAAATGTCACCCACTCTCCTGTCGTAACCTGATCCCATGTAACAGCAATCACTCAAAACAACATATAACACCAACCAATGTCATATAACACCATCTAGCACCACCCAATGTCATATAACACCATCTAGCACCACCCAATGTCATATAACACCATCTAGCACCACCCAATGTCATATAACACCATCTAGCACCACCCAATGTCATATAACACCATCTAGCACCAACCAATGTCATATAACACCATCTAGCACCACCCAATGTCATATAACACCATCTAGCACCACCCAATGTCATATATCTAGCACCACCCAATGTCATATAACACCAAGCACCACCCAATGTCATATAACACCATCTAGCACCACCCAATGTCATATAACACCATCTAGCACCACCCAATGTCATATAACACCACTAGCACAACAATGTCATATAACACCATCTAGCACACCAATGTCACATAACACCATCTCCAGCAACCACCCAATGTCATATAACACCATCTAGCACCAACCAATGTCATATAACACCATCTAGCACCAACCAATGTCATATAACACCACTCTACCCATGCCATAATGTCATATAACACCATCTAGCACCAACCAATGTCATATAACACCATCTAGCACCACCCATGTCATATATCTAACCAATGTCATATAACACCATCTAGCACCCAATGTCATATAACACCATCTAGCACCACCCAATGTCATATAACACCATCTAGCACCACCCAATGTCATATAACACCATCTAGCACCACCCAATGTCATATAACACCATCTAGCACCACCCAATGTCATATAACACCATCTAGCACCAACCAATGTCATATAACACCATCTAGCACCACCCAATGTCATATAACACCATCTAGCACCACCCAATGTCATATAACACCATCTAGCACCACCCAATGTCATATAACACCAACTAACAAAATCTACCACTAGCTAATGCTATGCAACACCGCTTAACATCACCTAATGCCCCACATCATCATCAAAAGTCACCTCATACCCTGTAACATCACCAAACACCATCTAACATCATTTAACACCACTTAATGCCCTGTAACATCACCTACCACCATCTAACATCATTTAACACCATTTAATGCCCTGTAACATCATCTAACACCATCCAATGCCCTGTGACCACCTAACACCACTTAATACCCTGTAACATCATCTAACACCAACTAATGCCTTGTAACATCACCAAATACCACTTAATACCCTGTAACATCTAACACCAACTCATGCCCTGTAACATCATCTAACAGCACGTAATGCCCTGTAACATCTAACACCAACTAATGCCCTGTAACATCATCTCACATTACCTAATGCCCTGTAACATCACCTAACACCATTTAACACTACTTAATGCCCTGTAACATCACCTAATGCCCTGCAACATCACCTTAAACCATCTAACACCAACAAATACCCTGTAACATCATCAAACACCACCTAATGCCCAGCAATATCACCTAACATCATCTAACACCACCTAATGCCCTGTAACATCATCTAATGCCCAGTAACATCACCTAACACCATCTAATGCCCAGCAACATCACCTAACACCACCTACCACTGTAAAATGTCACATTAACACATTCCACTACAATTCCCGTAAGCGTCAATTGTTTGTTTTTTCCTGCGGAGATGAAAACTGACGTCATCCATGAACTAGACGAACGAGTCTGGTACGCAACTTAAAGATAATTATAGAAAATGATGGATTGATTACATCATATACATTAATAATTAACTCTATATACTGTATAAGCCTTGTTCAACTACAGTATATCAGCCACATTAACTCTATAGTCATTACTTATTCACCCAGATCAACCACTTCCCCCCTAATCCACTGAAATTAAGAACCTGTGTCAAACCTGGATAGATTCTGTCACAACATGTAAGACAAGTCTTAAACAACCATGGAGGTTACACATAACTCGTATACTAGATTAATATGTTCTGTAAATGCTTTCAATTAAACCTGAATTTTATGGAAGACTTATCTGATGCACTTAATTTGCACAGTACTGTACTGTACTGAACCCTATATAGCAGTTCTTTCGAGATTGTCTCAAAGAACTGACAAATAGTTTCAAGTCCAAAAGTAACCATCAATCTAAAATGTGAAATTTGACATTTTCAACTTTTTAATCACTCCAGAAAGGTTATACTGTACAAGGAAGCTGACCAATCACATGCAATTTATGCAAGATTTGACTTTGATTAATATTCCTCTCAAGCTTTATCACAACTACACTTAGAATTGAGGACTCGTCAAGTTTAAAAGATTTAATCTTTTTACAGATTAACAGATCCACAGAAAAATGGACATTGCCAGACACATTCCCTCACAGTCTCATTGTTTCACCATAACACAAAAATGGCCTTTCTCAGTAATCTAAAATACTGCCCAGTACAATGTGACAGTAAGGTAGAATAGAGCTGAGCTGGGTTGGGTGGGGTTTGTTTTGGTTGGGTCTCATTTGATTTAATTGCTGTAATAACTCTGGATACATCAGACCCAAAACATCTTAAAATTTCAAAGCAATAAGAAGAATTTTGTACCTTGCTCTACTCAATTCCTTGTTTTCCACCATCAGATCTACTAAGGAACAAGTCCTCATCAGCAGTGTGAATAGAGCATTTACAGAAACTGCATAATGAGAGAGGCGAGATTAAAACTGATAACACCCCTTTCCCTACACCTGCTGCTATTGTTGGGGACATGTACAAAGGCTAAGGTCTTTCCTGTACCTAACAAAGAAGGTAAGTTATGTAACAATCATATTCCTAAGGTTGATTACAAATTTGGCAACAGTGACACTAAATCTCTGTATTAAACAACTATGAGTATGTCAATACAATACAGTACAGTACTATCTTTGTCTAACAGGCCCAGACTACTGGAATCACCTAGGGTGGTCTGACCTTCAGGATGCTTTAGCTACTGCTACCTCTCACAATTGGAATATTGCCAAAAATGTGAGTACCGAGAGGCACTGCGCACTTCTTTCTTTTGTAAGCCCTTTTCCAGTAAATGTTCAGTACAGTCAAGGGTGCCTGGAAGCAAGAGCAACAGACTTGCCCTCAATTATTACCACTCATCCCTTCTTTTAGTTGTTTTATCACATGTGTTATGCCATAGTGTGCCCCTTCCCTATTTGGTTTACCAGTGCTACTTCATATATCACTCCAGCATCACACACCTGCACCATTTCTATCCCTGAATACCACCTGAACAACGATAATTCATACTCACAGAATCACATCTCGGCTATTTACTACTCTAATTACTACCTGCTAGCACATGTATTATTGTTATAGATTGGATATACATTATGTTTTAAGAAAGGTTGATTGATAAGTTATAAACCAAGTGTTGCACAAATTCTGGAGATAAATTACAAAAGTCTTAGGTAAATATTGGAAATAATAAGTAGATGCTTGGAGAATTGTTGAGGGAATGCTAAGGTAGTGTCAAAGAAGTATTAAATAGTGTCATGGATATACAAAAGGACTAATACAAATACTGACATTGAGAAAAGCTAAGGTGTTACACAGGAGTTGGGAATAAAGAACACTATAGTACAGTATATTAGACAGGCAGTGGGAATATATTGAAGATGCAGTACTACAGTATTATGGAAATATTGAAGATAACTGGAGGACTATCAAGGATTTACAGGAAGAGAGGAATAGTGCTGGATATGCTAGAGTAACTCAGAGAATAACTAGAAGTTAAAATGGGGACAGATAAATGCTGTTGTCTGATTTATGGGGATGCTGTAGGTATGAGTTTAGTGATAAACAGGCTTCCTTCTTTTAATCAATGTACTCATTACAGGTGGTGCTCTTCTTGGGAGATGGTATGGGCATTGTGGTATCAACAGCAGCCAGAGTTTATAAAGAACAAAAGCGTCAAGGAAATTCTGGAGAGGAAGGTTACCTGGCATGGGAGCGATTTCCACACACATCTCTTATGAAAGTATGTTTGCAGATATTAAAATATCATATTACATACTGTATTCATTAAGTATGACCTTCAAATGACAATGAATACAGGCATACTTCTTATAGTATCCTAGATGTGTTCCTGAAAAATGGACCACTTGGAAATAGCTCTGTAAGAGGGCAATACAGTATACTGTACATGATTCCAATGGAGATGTGTTTGTGGCAGCATTATTTCTTGTCTCTAAGCAATATATGAGGGCTTCATTGTGTATTGGTAATTACACTAATAATGATTCTGTACACGTATGTATTAGCCAAGATTCCCTGGCAGCAGTGTCCCAGTTGCCATCAGCCAAACTTGAAGCAGTTTCTATGGCTGGATGTCCTTCCTATTGCCAAACCACTTTTACTGGCAAACCCAAACTACTAGCAATATCAACCTGATGTACAGTTACCTCACACATCTTATGGCCTGCATTCTTACACCCATATCGATGCTTTTACTTGACTACTGTACTTGACCCCATTACAAGTAATAAAACTTGCAAGTCTTTTTTTCATATACTGTACACTGTACTGTACTGTATTCTGGGCCAAAAATAAGTCAAAGGGAGTGTCCACCAAGGTAAAATAAATATTGTCCACATCTCTATGAATCATTAAAAACTGACAGAAGCAGGGGATGATTAGCAAAGTGGTAGTCAGTTTATGTTACTCTCATTCATTGAGCATGTGGCTCAGAAAAAACATAACACCACTGAGTGTCACAAGGTCTAGCATGGAACTTATGAACGGCTTATAAATTTATTTTTTGTTTTATTATATAAAATCCTCCAGAGCATTGATTTATATAATGGAACTGCCCAAAATGATCATGATTTTTTTTCTGAAGTTGCACACATTTGGTTAAGATATCCTAAGTTACTAACCATACTGAAAAACTGTTTAATAAAAACTGGCATCTAAGCTATATGGTAGATGTTACCAGTACAGTATTTAGATACTGGTACTCTTTAGTTTTCTGTGCAAGAATAGCATTGATCTATAAAACATGTTTTATAAACAAGTTCCTCAAAAAGAAAATGACCTAATGCCTCTTGGAAAATGTGATGCACACATCAGTAATAATACTGTACTTGGACAGTTCATGTACAGTTCATTTTTTCAGCAACCAAAAAAAAAACCAGCTGGGAGCTGCTAATTTTCCAGTTGTCAAAGAATAATGTAAAAGATATCACTCACATTTTTCACCTTTACCATCACCACCACCATTATTTTATGACTAGTTTCCACACTTGTGTGGGTTAGTAACGATTACCACAAACCCAGGGTGCCAGCCCAGAAATGCAGCAGAGACCAGAGGATGGGCCACCCTGGTGACCTAACTGCCATGCGGCAGCAAAGTTTTATGGCTGGATGCCATTCCTAACACCATCCCACAGGGTGGAAAAATTTGGCAAGGCTGAGTTGCAACTCCCTACCCATCTACCTCCCCTTAAACTTAAAATTTACACTTTATCAAAATATCAACAAAAGTAAATGAAGACTGGGTACCGTGTATGTAACAGACTAATCAGGTGTTGCACAGTAAGCTACAGAATTTTTTTCAAGAGACCAGCAGCTTATTTCAACACTAAATCAATCATTAATTTTTTTTTATTAATAATTCAGATATTTTTCTTTTTCAACAGACTTATACACTCGACCAGCAAATCCCAGATAGTGCGGCAACAGCCACAGCATTCTTCTCAGGCATAAAGGCCAATCAATATACTCTGGGAGTGGACAACACTGTCTTCAGAAATGATTGTATGGCATCACTTAATCCTACAACCTGGCAACCATCTATAATGGATTGGGCACAGAAGGCTGGAAAACATACAGGCAAGATGTGCAATAATGACTTGCCCACAGGAGTCAATACTATACTACTGAATATAGGGGATTTTTTTCTCTTGAATACAACTATAGTACTGAAATTTAATATAGAACCCCCAATACACACTACACAACCTCTAGACACATCAGCAAATCTTTAATACAGTACATTACTGTACAGGTATAAGGTCACCTTTACACACAAACTCTTTGGCTCTATCCAACACCCAAAGCTTGCTCTGTTCCCATTCACCTTCCTTAACTACTTGTTCATATCATTCTCTTCAGGCATCTATTTCATTACAGGAATAAAATTGAATTCCTTTGCACCAACTTTCTCACATTACCACATCTGTTCCATTTTCTTCATTTCTCACACTATCCAAATCCTAAACTGCAAATAAGAGTGTTTGAAAATCAAGGTCAACTGTCAGCACTGTGTTACTGTATCAAAATTACTCTTATAAATTAATTATTCAAAACAGTACAGTATTATTCGAATCTGGACTGTAGATGCACAATTTCTTTTTACAATCTCCCAGCCCGTTAATGGCTAATATTGTTTCATCATCAATATTTCGAACTCTACAACCCTGCAATGTACCAATAGTAAGCATATTTTATGATACTCCCGCTTATAGTTCACATAATTCATAAAATGGTTTAAAGCTCATAATTTTCTGATCTCTGGCTCGTCCAACTTTATTCCATAGTGACTTTTTAATTTCCAAACAATACTTGATATGGGTAATAATGGACTGAAATATGTTTCTTTAAATCTAAAGATTATTTAAAAAAACACATTGAAAGTACTGTACCATGCTGTACTACTGTACTATACTATATAGTAGAACGTCAATATAACACGAGATACGTTCCAAGAGAGATTACACAGGGTACAGTAACTGTTAAATTAAACAGATGACAAGGAGAACAATATATACCTGTATTAGGAGACATGGACAGGACCAGGAAAGATGTCATTTACTCACTTAAGGAAATATCATCATCAACGTTTTATGGCCATTTTCCACGCTTGATGCAAACTTTTAGGAAGAACGAGAAAGATGTGTGTGGTGATGCACGAAACTCACAGATAAATAAGAAGTGTACAGTGGTCCCTCGGTTAACGAGCGCCTCGGTTAACGAGATTTCGGTTAAAGAGTTACCTTCCATAAGATTCATAATTTCGGTTAACGAGCAATCCCTCAATTAACGAGTTTCTTACGAGCCGACCTCCACATGTTTTAGCTTGCATTTGGCGGTCCACCAGCTGTAGTATTAGTCCGCCAATACAGTAATCGGTTCTAAGGCTTAAATTCCTTACCCTTTTACGATATCAAGAAGTTTATACTATTCAATAATTTTAAGTTTAATATTAAATTGAACATAATTGAAGGTAGGGTCACTAGTTTGTAGCACGCCATCCAGCCTGCCAACACAGCATACAGGCATCAGTCTTTGTGTCTTTTCAGTGGAGGTAACATCTTGCTTGAGACTCTCTTCAACTAAATGCTTTTTTTCTGTGTTTGCAAGCAAATTATTGGTCATTTTGAAATTTATTTTACATATTGACAATATATAATGCAGTGCAGTGTTGATTTAAAGAAAATAATCTTGAATTACACCAAGAGAACTAAAATTTTATGGGTGAAATGGCACCATGGGGTGACTTCTCTTCCATCCCAATGCCTTCTCTTCTCCTTTCTCCTCCACCCCCATTCTAATTCCCATCATCATCATCATCATCATCATCCAGGAGCCTTCTACATACACACCTCAAAGTAAGTGTACTTTTCTACCTTTTTTGTTGAATTTAGGCAATTTTCGGTGAGCTGGAACCAATTACCCAAAAACCCATTGAAACAATGGTTTCGGTTAACGAATTTTTCGGTTAACGAGCAACCTTCTAGAACGGATTGTGCTCGTTAACCGAGGGACCAATGTAGAGTAAAAGGTTTTAACTGAGACACATGAAGAATATATCCTGACATGGACCCAAACCAAACCTTATCAATCATTTTATAATTCCCTTTGTAGGCTTCGTAACAACAACTCGGTTAACACACGCTACACCTGCTGCCCTTTATGCTCACAGTCCCAACCGCGACTGGGAGTGTGATGCAAAACTTGGAAGATTTGGTCATGGCTGTAGGGATATCGCTAAGCAACTTGTTGAAGATGCTCCAGGAAGAGATGTGAAGGTAAGGTTCTGTATATTTTCAAAATTACACATAATTGCAAAGGTCTACTGTTTATGGTGTTGCCATACTGGAAGAATAGAAAGGAGGAGATAAAGGGAGTCCTCAATATGTTGTACCGATATAGGGACTGTACATAATTTCACATAATACGTCATTAAAAAATATAGGAAGAAATTTTAAAATGTATTATGCATCTGTATAGGCCTTGGTTTGTATATTACTCAGATGTCTAAGAGTAAAGTAGTCAAATTGAGCCATAATATATCACTCAATAACAAATAATGTTGTAAGGATGTGCAAGTATCCCTTGTTTAACGATGGGGTTGCATTGCTGAAAAACCTAAAGTTAAGCAAACTATCGCTAAACGAGAGGTAAGTGGGGTGCGTCTAACTATCAGATACAAAGTTTAGAAAAAGGCTTGAAAAATACCTGTAAGTACGTGTATTACTACATCTACTTGTGCAATCTAGCACCACCTTTAATCAATCCCCACAACCATTACTACCTCACCCTAAGTCAAAATTACCATCAGTACAGGTACCACCATTACTATCATTACTCTGCATGTTGTCTACCCATGAGTTTGTTTACTAGAAATGAAGGTAAGTGAACTGTAGCTACTGTGTCTGAAGCAGCAAACTTAGTATTTACAGTTATTAACTTGACAATATATTTTGTTCTTTTTTCTTAAAAATAAAACGCTCATTATTTATATGATAGCTTTAGAAGGGTAAATGAGAGCCTACGTTCCTGTTATTGAGGTCTACAAAGCGAACATGTAGTTACAGTACAATCATTTTAATACATATACTGTACTAATTTATGTAATTGGAACATGGAGGCATTAGAAAGGTTGTTAACTTTCTACACACATTAGGAAATATGTTATCAAGCCATCAAGAAAGCTTTTCAACTTCATATATACCCTGTATGAAAAAAAAAATACTAAAAGTTTGTATGTGTTTGACAACAATAGTACACATTCTGTTAATGGTAATACGTGTACTGTATACATTGTTGCTCTAAGAAAATTTCCTGATACGGTAATTAGATATCATAGTAAGTTATGAATCACACTCTTAAGTCAATGTATACTTATTAGTAAATTTGTGTTTTTTTTTCTCTAAGAATACATATGTCGCAAATGGCAACTCCACTCTGGCATGGGGAAACACATGCACGAGTCAGGTGGGCCACGGCTCATGTGCACAACACTCATGCCAGTCGATGTGTGGAGGAGGCAGGATGCTCATTGCTTCCAAGTTTTACGATGCTTTATCACACTGTCAGCTTTCCAAAATAATTCACAGCATTAGAAGAGTAAACATAGATAGGTGACAGAAGAGCTGCACAAATGGGGCACAGAATCCCCAGTTTCCCCCTTCCCAGTGAGTCTAGCCACCAATAAACCAAATTTTGACCTTAAGTTAAGGGAGAAATGATGTAAAAAAAAAATTATCGCTTAAGTGTATTAACACTAACTTAATTAATGCAAAACGAAGGATACCTGCATCTCCATATCAAAAACTATGTAATACAATACTGTATGTTATAATAACCATATTGTAAGCTGATTTGCTGAACTTTTAAGGGGTATTACAGTAGTAGGCAGCTACCAAACAGGGAGGTACTACCACCAGGGAAGATATTGGAAGCATAATGTACAGTGTTGTCTAATGGTAGATCTTGCTGCCATATGGCATCACGAAAATTATGACCAAGTCCCAGGTTGCTGATCTAACTTTCTGCCTCATTTACACACAATTGCAGTATCTCAATTGTTTTTCTTACTATTGAGAACACAACAAACATACAGTAGAACGTCGATAAAACGCGAGATACGTTCCAAGACAGGTCACTTTAAAACGAATTCGCACTAAATCAAAGTGTTGTTTCAATGGAATAATTTAGTTTGGTACCTGAGAGGGTTTTGTGGTGCTGAAAAGAAAAAGAAACACCCATTTTATATTTTATATGTATTATTTTCACATTTTCAACTTTTGACCAATTCGACTTACGATGTCATAGCCTGTTAACTGTAAGGTTCTGTCGAAGTTAATATTCCTCTCGTGAGTACTAACAAACTACTGCCCGCTTGGGGTGGCCAGAAAGCCGGCTACAAATGCCTTTACCTCAGCATAAAATGGCGCGGCTTCCCATAGGCACACCCTATCACGTGCACAGAACATGTCACCTCATAGCTAGTGGAAAGTTACAGGGGGTGAATCAGTATATAAATCAAATGTAATTAATCCATTTATATAATTCTTCTGTTTATGAAACAAGGGCTATTACAATGACCTAGATTTGGGTCCCTAACCCCGTCGTAAGTCAGGGACTGCCTGTATATTGTTTCTAACTTTTGATCTTTTTTTTTCTTCTTTATTATTATTATTATTATTATTATTATTATTATTATTATTATTATTATTATTATTATTATCATTATTATTATTATTATCATCATCATCATCATTATTATTATTATTATTATTATTATTATTATTATTATTATTATTATAATTATTATTATTACTACTGTAGTGTTATTATTATTGTCATTATAATTTATTTTCAATTTTGTATTATTTATTATAAATTTTATTTGCTATGAATTATTATTATTATTATTATTATTATTATTATTATTATTATTATTATTATTACTATTATTATTATTATTATTATTATTATTATTATTATTATTATTATTACATTTTCTCCCCCAGGCCCCGATATGGGTCACTGACCTTTGCCCGGGTGGGCTAATCCCTGAAAAAAAAAAAAATGTTGGAATGCATATACAGAAGCGACTGTACTCCAAATTACATTCATTATTAAGGGGAAAAATTACTCATTATAAAACGTTTCACTATGTCACATTTTTCTGGACCACATCCCTGGCGTATAATGAGGACCCCTATATGAGAATCCAGGAGGCAAGTGAGCACATAAATGATAGGATGTATGGTTTATAGGAAAGTCATAGTTGTTATGAGTTAATGATTGATTGATTGATTCTCTTGATGCCATCCATATCACAACATTGTGGGAGACTTTATTCATACACAGTACTGTACAGGTAATAATGCTGTAGTCATTTTGCCAACTGGGATTCTACTCTTCTCCTAAAGGTTTATATAATTTTGTTTTATAAACAATCATCATTTTTTTTAATAAAAGAAAATACTGTATGCACAGTGTTTTTCCCTCACTGCTTTCCTTTATAAATTTAATCATAAAAGCTAATCCAGCATCAACTTCTTATCTTTCACAGGTAATGCTCGGTGGGGGTAAATTTCCCTTTGGAGCATCAACTGGGATAGCTGATAAAAAAAATTGCCTAAGAGTTGACAATCGTAACCTAACACACGAATGGCTAATTCAGAAGAGAGCTCATGGACACAAAACTGAATATGTGCAAAATACACAACAACTTCTTACCGTCGATACTTCAAAAACAGACCACTTAATAGGTAATTTATTAGACATTAATTACACCTTACAGGACCCTCTTAGCTACATCATACAAAATGCAGCACTTGATATGTATGGAACATATGGCTCCCTCAAACTTAATATGACTTTTCTTGTTTAATATACTGTAAAAACTTACTACAGTACAGTAAATAAATATTATATTGTATAAATGATTTCCACACTAAAAGTAAAAATCATATTTTTTTTTAAGACTATAGTAGCAGATATCTACTCTAACAATGCCACAATTTATTGATTCAAATAATTAGTGTATTTCTTTCTAGGACTGTTCTCCGACTCTCACATGGACTATGAAATTGATCGTAACAGGGGGCCTTCAGGGCAGCCCAGTCTTGCCAACATGACTTCTGTGGCCATCAAGATGCTTTCAAAAAGCAGAAAAAAAGGCTTCTTCTTAATGGTACTGTACTTGATCATTTCCCACTGGTCCACTTTTCAGAGGATGTACCACAATTATTTTGTAACTAAAACAAAATAAATTTTATTTTATCATTTATCCATGGTCTGAGCTACCTTCTAATTATCTTGTAATCAAACTTACAAAGTTTTCATACTATATATGTATCTCCAATGACAGGTGGAGGGTGGCAGAATTGATCATGCCATGCATATCACAGAACCCCTGCGTGCTTTTGAAGAAATCCTAGCTTTCGAGGATGCTATCACAACGGCCCTATCAATGCTGGATCTCAGTGAAACACTTGTTATTGTTACTGCTGATCACTCGCATGTTATGACCATTAACGGATATGTCAAGAGAGGGAACGACATTCTAGGTATGTAAATGAAAATAAGAAGGAACTACTGTACTTCAACTTTGTGACATACATCTTAAAAATGAGGATATCAAAATTTCTTATTTAATAAAAATTCAGATATTAACAGAAATCAAACATAATAAAGATGATAATAAAATCAATGTAAACATAAAATCTCATGTCACCATACTGTATGTGATAAACATGTTATACAATGTTACTGGACAAATATTTGTATGTTTTATATACAGTAACAGTAAATTTGAAGATCTGTCATTATATTACTTTGCAGGAGTATCTGATAAACCTTCTGAAATTGACAACATGCCCTTCACTACTCTTATGTTCACGAATGGCCTTGGTTATGATTATTACTGGAATGGTACAAAGGTATAGTTTCAAAATGTTCTGTGCCTTTATCAAAATTCTCTTTATAAGACAGCTACCTTGCGGCGTAGAAGACACACTTTTTATTACAAAAATATACCTTGAAAATTACCATGCGTCTTCCACGACGCTAGTTGTAGCGGAGGTTTTCTTAGGGTCAACTGAAATCAGCCCCTTACAAAGACTGTTGCCTCATTACTTAGCAATTACAAGTACAGTGAAACCTCACTTTACGCGGTCAATTGAACCCACGGCAGCCCGCATAAAGTGAGAAACGCGTAAAGTGAGCAACATAACATATGGGATTAATTGAAATAGAGACCGGGCCGACCCCCAAACTCCACTTTTTCAGACACAATACCTACGTTGTAGTAAAAATAACTTCTTAATTTTATGATGGTATGCACACACAATTAATAATTAAGAGAAATATCAATAATATTAGGTTTTTTAACACTTACATTAGTAGAAAAGATGGCTGGACACACGGGGATGGGGGGTTGGTTCCGAGGCAGAGGGCAGATTATTGGCCCTCACCTGTATCACTTGTATCAATTGTATCACTATCCACCACAGAGGCTTGCAGGGCCTCTTTGTCAAACCCCTCAAAGTCCATATAAGTCCATATCCTCACTATCATTATCACTATCACTGACTTGGGCCGGCTGTGGTGGGTGGCGGGTGAGAACTCGGTAATGTTTTGATGACTGGGCGACCTTGTGCGCACCCTGCTCGCGCCGCTCTCCGCGTAAATGGGTACACCCACCACGGAAAGTGAGCATTCCGTGTTCGGCAGGGTACCACGTAAACATGGAAACGCGTAAAGTGGGACCGCGTAAAGCGAGGGTTGACTGTATTCTCTATAAAATAAAACAATTGATTAAACTAATATTGTTGATATACTGCAAAATATATGATTATTTACTTACTCAGTAGGTAAAAAATAAAAAATAAACGGCTGCAGCTACACAACCCTTGCTGCTGTGCGGTTTGTTTACTAATGGCAGTGGTGCGACAGCGCCATTTATTGAGGAATTGCGTCATTGTCATACCGACAAAATCAAGAGAAAGAATGTAAACACTACAGCTCGCTAGAAGCGGAGGAGACCAGGTGTATAAAATGAGTGCTGTATTAAAGATTTCCACTTCTTATAGATTTTGTATTAAAAATTGATGAAAATGACGACTGATAAGTAGTTTTAAGTGATGATATTCAAAGAGGTGTGTGTACTTGTGCTAAAAGGGCTGTATATCAAGCAACGGTTTCACTGGTGTAGGTTAGTAAATATAAAATGTTTTTTCCTAGAATTACATTTCCAAAATCAGGGTGCGTCTTCTATGCCGCAAAATACGGTACTTTAATTTACTTTTCCCAGTTTCAAGCTATCCCAAAGACAATCAAATATTCAAAAAATATTGAGACTTATCTTCAATTTAATAGCTACAGCAAAGGGTAGAAGATATGCCAGTAGATTGTGAAAAATTGGGAGTGCCAGGAGACAAATTATATGACAATGAGGATACAGGAAAAAACTATATTCCCATTTTGGGGAATAGTTAGGTAAGGTAAGTTTTTGTTGTTGTTTATGAAACCTTTTTTAAGGTATGATACAGTGGTCCCTCGGTTAACGAGCGCCTCGGTTAATGAGATTTCGGTTAACGAGTTACCTTCCATAAGATTCTTAACTTCGGTTAACGAGCAATCCCTCGATTAACGAGTTTCTTATGAGCCGACCTCCACATGTTTTAGCTTGCATTTGGCGGTCCACCAGCTGTAGTATTAGTCTGCCAATACAGTAATCGGTTCTAGGGCTTAAATTCCTTACCCTTTAAGTAAATATCAAGAAGTTTATACTATTCAATCATTTTAAAAGTTTAATATTAAATTTTTTAGTCATTTTAACAATTATTGAACATAACTGAAGGTAGGGTCACTAGTTTGTGGCACGCCATCCAGCCTGCCAACACAGCATACAGGCGTCAGTCTTTGTGTCTTTTCAGTGGAGGTAACATCTTGCTTGAGACTCTTCAACTAAATACTTTTTTTCTGTGTTTGCAAGTAAATTATTGGTCATTTTGAAATTTATTTTACATATTGACAATATATAATGCAGTGCAGTGTTGATTTAAAGAAAATAATCTTGAATTACACCAAGAGAACTAAAATTTTATGGGTGAAATGGCGCCATGGGGTGACTTCTCTTCCACCCCAATGCCTTCTCTTCTCCCTTCGCCTCCACCCCCATTCTAATTCCCATCATCATCATCATCATCATCATCCAGGAGCCTTCTACATACACACATCAAAGTAAGTGTACTTTTCTACCTTTTTTGTTGAATTTAGGCAATTTTCGGTGAGCTGGAACCAATTACCCAAAAACCCATTGAAACAATGGTTTCGGTTAACGAGTTTTTCGGTTAACGAGCAACCTTCTAGAACGGATTGTGCTCGTTAACCGAGGGACCACTGTATTGGGGTTTACTTGTCATTGGGAACTGAAGCCTATTTTTTCCAAGTTATGTTATTTAAGATATGAAAATTCACCTAATGAATGATTTTCTAGGAACGTAACCCATTTGTAGTAGCTGGAAGGTGTTTAGGGGGCTATTGCCTTTAATGACAGCAAGATGACCTTCTCTTTGTTTGAAAGGAAAGATGTATGTAGCCAGCCAGTGTAAGAAAATTATTTTATGACAGTGAAACATGGGCAGTTAAAGGAGATGACAAACATAGAATTAAGTGACCCGAGTTAAGAATGGTGAGATGGGTATGGAATGTGATGTTGAACAAGAAACATTGTTCAGAGCTATGAGGGTAGCTGAGTACTGACAAGGTTTTGCAAAGAAGTAAGCTGATATGATTCAAGGATGTGGAGAGAAAGCAGGAACCCAAATGGGTCAAGAGAGTTATGAGTTTAAATGTGGAAGGAAGGAGAGCCAAAATTGAAATGGGGAGAGGTTGTGAGAAATTACCTAAAAGATAAAAGCCTAATGAGAGAGGTGGCAAGTGACTACCATCAAGTAATCAGGGCATGGAAAATGGTTTAAAGAAGGAATGATGATGACAATGGGCATAAACAAATTAATTAAAAAGTGTGTGTAGTAAAAATTATGCCCAAGCAATTACTCTGGAAAAAAAAGCACATCCGAATTCATATTTGCCCCTTAGGTACGTAATTTGAGTTTTGACAAAGTACATGTACAGTATACAGAAAATTTTAATAATTTACCTTTACTGATTCACTTTAAAGTGCAGTATATCATTTACAATGCTTTAATAATTATGCAAAACATAGTTCCAAGAACCATCAAATACAGTGGTCCCTCGGTTAACGAACACAATTCGTTCCAGAAGGTTGTTTGTTAACCGAGACCATTGTTTCAATGGGATTTTGGGTAATTGGTTCCAGCTCACCAAAAATTACATACAAACTAAAAATAAATGCAGTAAAGTACACTTACTTTGAGGTGTGCATGTAGAAGGCTCCTGGTTGATGATGATGATGATGATGATGGGAATTAGAATGGGGGTGGAGGAGAAGGGAGAAGAGAAGGCATTGGGGTGGAAGAGAAGTCACCCCATGCCGCCATTTCCCCCATAAAATTTCAGTTCCCTTGGTGTAATTCAAGATTATTTTCTTCAAATACACACTGCACTGCATTATATATTGTCAATATGTAAAATAAACTTCAGAATGACCAATATTTGTACTGTAAAAATGTGAAAATAGTTTATGTTCAATAGTCTCAAGCAAGAAGCTTCCTCCACTGAGCAGGGACACACAGTGACGCCATTTTGGGTGAGTCAAGTGGCTGTTTGGTGCGCTAAAAACTAGTTCCCTGTACTTCAATTATGTTAAATAATTGTTAAAATGACTTAAAAACTTTAATATAAGACTTGGAAAATTATTGAATAGTAGAACCTTCTTGAAATTTACTCAAATGGTAACGAATTTAAGCCCTAAAACCGATTACTGTATTGGCGGACTAATACTACAGCTGGTGAGCAGGCAAAAGCAGGCGATAACATGTTGGGAAAAATTAGTAAGGAATTCGTTAACCGAAATTTCGTTAACCGAGGCGTTCGTTAACCGAGGGATCACTGTACTGTATTGTATTATGTCTTTCATAACAATATTACCCGGTAATTCAATTTTCAGGTTACAAGACCAGATGTGAGAGAGAAAAGCACTACTAAGCATGGTTATAAACCCCTGTCAGCTGTTCCTATGTTATATGAGACCCATTCTGGAGAAGATGTTGCTGCCTATGCTATTGGTAACTACTCCCTTTGGGATTCTATGGAAGCTTTGCAATATGAAATATGAAATACCCAGTCATGATAATTATATATAAATATATATTTATATACGTATTAATATTGACATTTCTGATTAATAATTTGCTTCAATATACAGTACAGTACACTTCAGTATTTAAAAAGCAATATTTCATGATTTAAACAAACATATATGAACCTTAACAAAAATACCACTTTATTAATTTCCATTTGCAGGACCGATGTCTCACCTGTTCCACAGAATGCATGAACAGAGCTATATCGCCCATGTGATGGGTTTTGCTGCCTGTGTTGGTCCATATAAAAAAAATTGTGCAAGACCAGAGCATTCTATTCCATGATTTACCTCATGATAATATCAAAACTGTGTTCTCCTGACATATCCTCACAATGACCTGTTGTAGTATTGCTACATGATGTATAAAGCATAAACTTTTGTACATTTCCATTGCATCAGTATGTTCTGCATAGAGCCATTTTTTGTGTAACCATATACAGGTACTCCCCGACTTACGACGGGGTTAGGGACCGACATCCAGGTTGTAAGTCGAAATGGTTGTCAGTCGGAAATGCTTAAATAACACATAGAAAATCGAAAATTTGGGTCTCTTTTTCTTATCAGCACCACAAAACACTCACTTTTAAGCTTGCCAGCTATTTTAAAGTGAATTGCAGATGAAAATTTTGTCTGCGTACTGACTTTGGGACTCAAAAATACATAATTTGACCACATTATGGTGAGACTGAGGCAGGTCGTAAGTGCGGGTGGACGTAATTCGAGCCGGTCATAAGTCAGGGAGTACCTGTATATTGTACAAGATTAAGAACAATTATGTTGTCCAGTTGGTCAGCTTATATTTTTTATAAATGTGAAAATCCTACTAAGGTCTGCATTTTATTTTTCTTTATGAACATGAGGCCCGTCCACCAGCTGTGTGTTAACTAAACCATTACAGTATACAAAATTCTAAAGTGGAATTTCTTATCACTATACTGTACTCTTAGTTAGCTTCACGCTTAAGGATGTGTGGAGAGACCAACAAGAAGATTCATAAGTTCAAAAGTTATCTGGTTTAGAGAGTAATTTCTTGCTACTGTAACTTGCCAGAGAATCTTGTACTGTAATGGCACAGATCATTAACTCATTTAATGGCAAACATAACCAACAATGACACATGTTTTAGTATATGCTAGACCATACATAATTTTTTCTTTCTTTTTTTAATTTTTTTTACGGGGATTGACCCACCCGGGCACAGGTCAACGATCCACATCGGGGCCTAGGGGGTGAAAAAAAAAAAAAGGAATTGAAAATAGAAAAGGAAAAGGTTATATTAATCTACAACACGGGGATTGGCCCACTCGGGTACAGGTCGACGACCCCCATCGGGGCCTAAGGGGCGAAAAAAAAAGAATAGAAAGAAATTAAAAATAGAAAAGGAAAAGGTTATATTAATCTACACCACAAAGATGCTGGAAAACCAGCTTTTTAAAGTGAGACAGATTGTATGAGTATGGAAACACAGAAGGTAGAACATTCCGCAGTTTGGCTGTGTGAGGAAAGAAGTATGTACTGTAACGGGTTATTCTAGTGTGACCGGCATCCACAGAGAAATGGTAGGCACCGCGGGCAAGACATGTGTTACGAGCCCATGGCCTTGCCGGCGGTACACAGAATGCCAAATCCACCCGAACATTGCCCGTTAAAGTACAGATACTTCTCGATATACACGAGGGTTACGTTCTTGAAGAGGACGTGTAAATCAAATTTCATGCAAAAAAAAAACTGAGTGAGAGAGGCGTCTGAGGCAAGACGGGAGTGTGCATCAGCCTGTTTATACAATCCTTCTTTACACCACTTGTACACTCAGGCAAATCACGCTTATGTACAACTTATTCCATACGAACACTTCCACCTTCTGCTCCAGGGTTAAGGACAACCTTAACTTCTTAAAGGCATTTTCTGCACCTCCAGGGGTAGAAGGACACTTGGGAGCCATGATAAATGTGTAGAAAATCGGCGAGGTAGCACAGCCACACGTGTGTGGTGCACACGTACAGTGAGCCGGAAGGACTGAGCGAACAGCGAAGCGAGAGACGTTTGGCGGCCGCTCCGTGAACTATGCGTGTTATTGTGAATGAAACGTGTAAATTAAATATTTTAGGGGGATTTTGGACCTCGTGTTAATTCGAAAATGGGCAAAAAAACATGTGCAAAACGAGAGGTACCTGTACCTGTAAAACAGATTGAGTGAAGCAACATTGGGGCAAAGAGAAAGGGAAGAAAGATTGTCAACTAAAGGAGGAGAGTTAATAAGACGAAATGCCTTTGATTCCAACCTATCTAACAGTTGGACAGAAGAAGAGCCACCCCAGATATGAGAGCAGTACTACAAGTTAGGATGAATGAATCCCTTATATACTTGAATCAACTGCTCAGGAGTGAAGTAGCTGTGGCATCTGTACATATGCCAACATTGTGCAAATGAGGACAGACTGACAGCTAAAGTGACTAACCAGCTAATTAGTGGCAAAGAGGCATGGTAAGGTATATTAAATTTACAACATACCGTACTCAACATTTTCTGTTTTAATTTCTTCATGAATCTAAAACCACTTTATTTTAACTCGTCAGGAGAAATGGACAAGGAGAATGAGGTGATCTTTCTCTGTTTCTGATTGTGTATCATCTTACCTTATCTAGGAGTCATCTGTAAGTGTAAATGTGGCTGTGCTACTATCTATGGAGATACAGTGGTCCATATAAAAACCTGTAATTTTCCTGGGCTTACACCAAAAAATAATGAGATCTGACAACACATTAAAGAGATGTGGGGGTAATTTTGGTTGTCACGAAATGATAAAAGCAAAGCATTCAACCATGAAATAATGATGGTCTACTATACCCACTTGGAAAACCCTCATCGCACAGGGTGAGTCAGTTCAACAATAGGCATTTATACCTAGTTGTCTGAGAGGCCACCCAAAGTAGAATTTCATTCTTTTTCATAATGCCAAGGAATTGATGACCATAATCAAGACAGATGATGATGCAGGAGCCAAAAGAATACCAATGCATTCATGAATCCAATAACTGATCGTATCATCTCAGAGAGCCTGAGCATAACTGATTGTCTAACAAAAATTCATTACATAATATAAACTAAAAAGCTGTACTCTACCTGTATCTTCACTGGTTTTGACATCCTTCAATTGGTTGAGAAGATGGCTGGCAACTGATGGATGGGCAACCAAGCGGTTCTGGTACATAGCTGAAGATGCCCACTGCATGATGAGGTTGTTCATTCTGTACTGAACTGTAAGCATTCTCACAACATCTTCCCCACACTGATCTGGAAGAAATTAAGGAAACAATGATGCCTTGTAAAACAAAATATTTCTGTAAAAATAAATATGCATATGGACAAGAACACACCAGTTAACGAATGTACAGGTTACGACATTTTGACAATAAAAACAAGCCTCCCAGAACCTAACCAGTGGTATATGAATGCTACCTCAGATTTACAAAGAACACACTGGAAGCTGTCATGGAACTAGTTCACTGGTGGAGGATTACTATCATCTTCTGCATGGTTGTGAGGTGTTTCAGTGGCACTTGGATTCAAAGAATCAGTTGCCTGGTTCGTCACCATTTTCCAAGCCAGCAAAACTGTTCGCTCTAAATTTTTCACTCATTTAGCATCTTGTTTGAGCCCAACCATGGCCAATAAGTGTAAGTGTGGACCTAGTGATGTGCCTGTTGCAAAGAAACAGTGTAGGGTGCTGACACTGCAACAAAAAGTGGACATTATCAAGTGAGCTAAGAAGGGAGACATCCAACTCAGACCAGTTCTTCCTATGGGGTTCAACTGGTCAGCAGCTTGAATGATTCTCATAAACAAAGTTAGCACCAATGAATATATGAAAGGAGCCATTTCAATACAGTCTACAGTAATAAGTACTGTAAGAAGAGAAGTCCACTCATCATGTGGATCGGGGACAAGAAACGGCGTCGATTACTGATTAGCCTTATGGTAATTCGCGAAAAGGCACGGGAGGTGGGTGTTCTTGTGAGTAAACATTTTTGGCCAGCAATGGATGGTTTGACAGATATATAAACAGGGCTACTTTATAAAGAATAAGAGTGGATGAAGCTGCTAGTGCAGCCATAGAAACAGATTATATATTTCACAAACAAATTTTTGCAGTAATTAAGGAAAGGGGGATACAGTACAGTGCTCACCAAGAGTTTGATGTAGACAAAACAGTTCTTTTCAGGCCTATTCTTTCAGGAAAAAATACCAACACCACATCCAGTGATTACAGCAACAACAGGATCCAAGGTACTGTAGTGTAATTATGAAATCTTAGCAAAATTGGGGTTTTGTGAGGTGGTTCAGTTCCTAACCTAATAATCACATTGTTTCTATATGGAAATTAGCTTTTAGTTTCTAAACAACCGCTTCTGAATTGGTGTTTCAGACACTAGCCCATTCATTAACCAAAGTGTTTCTGTACAGTAATTTTATGAATACAAGAACTAAGTTCTCATCTACATAACAATTAATGGCCCATGAGTCAGGATTTTCCTGTACAACTTAAAGGTTATCTGGCTGATATGTTAGATTGCTATAATACCCATCAAAATTTTCATGGCATGCATAAAACAACTTAACGGGATTATTACTAAAAAGAACTTTCAACAGAAAAAAGAACTAAGAGATGCATGTGATACCTCCCATGAATAATGCTTTACTGAGATGATTTCAACACACACACACACATCTCCATCCCCCACAAACAGCCCCATCCACCCCCAAACACACTTCATACAGCAGGAGAAAAGCATTCCTCAAAAATATGACTAAACTGTATTCATTGCACCACCATACATTAAAAATGCCATAAATAACATGGAGTCTGGAATAACTTTTACATTATCTTTGGCTACATTCTCCTATACCAGTATATGCTGGTTATAGAATATGAAATAAGTCTTAAATTCAACAGCATAAATTACAATTCTCTTTTTCTCATCATTTAACTTTAGCATGTTGTTTCCAAAGTTCTTTATTTTGTGCTTTCTACTGAACATATTTCAAAACTGGTGGACTTGTTCAGTCCACCCTCAACTTTTCACACCACACATTCTTCCTGCAAATAAATGGTGGCTTCCTTCATGTATTCTAAGTCAAGCCAATATGTAAATGTCTCTACTAGTGTTGACGGATATTTGGAATGGAAAGATGAGGAAATCTTTTGTTGTCAAAGTGTTTGACAAAGACTATTTCACTGCTCTGATTGCCAGAAAAGATCACCTAGTGAAGAAACAAAGTATACAGTATTGGTGCAATTGGGTGGTCAATGGACCATTCAGCATCTGTTCTTAAGTATGGATGATGGAGAGGTGGAAAAATAGCCTTATCAGCAGATCATGGAGGACACAGGGGTGAGAGGATGGGGAGAAGAAATACATAAGGACTATGGCTGCTAGTTCAGCATACAGTATTCACTTGAAAATTTTTCACAAGGAATGATAATATATGTTAAGACACACCTATAATTCTCTCCATGAGTGAGTGCTCAAGACCTTTTGCTGCAGCCTCAGGCGAAACAATGGTTGGAGGCAGCTGGCAGTGATCACCTGCGATGATTAGCTTTGGTGCACGGAGAAGGGCCATGTAGCATGCAGCCTCTATCGCCTTGAAAAGAAAAATCAAAGAGGTAGTACGAATTCAAAATATCCAGGAACAATTATCTCCCTTTTCCAGTAATGTATAAAACCCTTACAACTCACTTTAGTAAAATAGTGTCAATTCATATCATAACTCTTATAATTTCTGCACGTCTTTTTTTCTTTATTTTTTTAAAAGATGAACCTTTTAGTCACCCCCTGGCCAAAATAACTTCAGTAACCAAAAGTAATTGTAATGCTTTTGGGTGAAAACAGAAATGTATTCATGAATTTCTTCTGATATTATGTTTAAATAAATAGGCCTGTTTTAGCATATACACTCCCAAAAGACTATTCAGCTCTTATGTACCCCATTCAACACTCATTGGTTAGTTAACATAATAATCATCTCTGCACCCACTTCCCAAATACAACATCCTTTTCTTTCATATTTTTTTTATATTCATACTACAAAAATCAAGTCAGTGTCAAATACAGTAAAGAATCACCTCCCTACATTCTCAATAAAGTCTATCCGAATAACTTTACAAACAGTGTTGTACCTAAGAATATAATGTTTTCACTCATCAATTTTCACCGTAAAAAATCAACATTATTTTTTTTTGTACAAAAATAAAAGTGTGCACCAAATACTTTCACCATCACCTTGAACCAGTAATGTCAATCTCTAATTTTTCTTCAGGTTTATTTTCTTGGTACAAACAAATTCCATAAATCCCTTCCTTACTGCATCAAACATAATACAGTATTCACAAGTACAGGTTGCAATTTCCTTCTATTTGATTCATCCACTCCACTCTCCAAATCAACATCCACATTACAGGACTTATTTTCAATGTCTATTATCATGTTAGACATCCACTTTTCCAAACACCTTATAACATCTTACTTGAGAAGTCAACTTCATAAAATGAGAAAAGTTAGCAATACCTGTGAGCACTCATCAATAACCACCAGATCAAAGTGTTCTGGGGGCAAAAATTTAAGGGGCCCATCATTGCTGCTACTGGTCAGGGTTACCAGGATCACGTCACAGTTCAAAAGCACCTGCCGGATCAGTCGAGTCTCTCTGTCAACAAAAACTTTTGTCATTATATTTTCTAATAAGATAGAAAACCAATATACTGTATAGTTAGATCTGTACGGTAATAAAACACCATCAAAAACTACAAGACTGTAAAAACATGTAGAAAGTCAATTCTTTTTAGTTTTTACCTTTTACTGATACTGTATTGTAGGGTGAACGATATCATGTAATAAAGTTTATCAGATTATATAAGCCATTGTCTCACCTTGCAGCTTTAATTTTCATAAGAACATACTGTACAGTACATGTATTAATTTGCAAAAGCCTTATTGTGCTGCCATATTTATCTGTCTTATTTCACAAAATCCATAAGAAGGAATAGCTTTAATAACTGATCATGCCTGGGTGATACAGTTAATAACCATTTCTCTGTCAACTTTGATTTGTCTTTGTTACTTATACTTTATTTGTATTTGTTACTTTATCAATAAAACATTTATAAAAATAGGGTAAAAAATTGCAAATTATTTATAGTTTCATAAATGGTCTAAAGCAGAGGCATCTATTGTCCCCAGCCTTGTATAACTTTGTGTTGGAGGTCCACAAGATAATGGAAAGTACAAAAGAAGGAATAGAACTATAAAATTTAACGGTAAATAGTAGTTAACACTTGCTGATGATGTGAACCTCATGGTCATGAATGATGGGACACCTTTTCCACCCATTCAAATTACAGTACCAGCTGAGAGAGTACTCAAAGTAAGTGAAAAGAAAACAAAACTAATGAAACCAAGAGAGGAAGAACCAGTAATTTTACAAGTGCAAATTGATGACCTAAATATTAATTTATTGAGAGAATTTATATACAGTATCTTGGATCAACATTCCAATAAACAAATTAAATCATGAATAGCAGCAGGAAACCACTGCTACTACACCTCCAATCCATGATAAAGAACCAATGAGAGGCTGCAGGAGAACATGCAGCATGGAAAGCTGGTGTCAAGTAATCATGACTAACTAACATAAGTGCAGAAAATGGCCAGAAAATGATGATAATGATGATGAAGATTATGATGATTATGAGGATGATGATTCAACACCAGGTCGAAGAGAATAAGAGCCAAAAGAGTAAAGGTACTGTACTGCCTTTTACTTACACCTTTATCAGTATTTTCTTACTTTTCTACTTATATAGTATTTTTTCCCCATGTATCCTGATTGGGGCAACTCTCATTCCACAAACACACTGTAATGCTATACTCCAGTGCAAGGATATAATGGCTCTTTTATTTCTTAGCTCGATACTTCAATATGCTTTGAACTGGATGCTGGATATTTGGTACTAAAGGCAATGTTTTTTTTAAGGAAAACACTGCATGCAATATACTTAATACCAAATGAATGCATATTGGAAAAGTAAAACATTAAAGCAAACACTGAGATACTAAATGCATTCATTAACCCTTTCAGTCCTAGGGACATGCCTCATACACTTGGGACCAGATTCCTATGGAAGTATGAAATACAGCATGTCTTGATTTTTCCTGACCCATTTCAAATATCTTGGAGTAGCCATGGGCCATAAAATGATGTTATATGTAGCCAGTAGTTATAAGTCACCCTAAAAAATTTCACAGCTACATACCCTGTAGTTACCCTACAATGGACATTTATTGGAGTGCACATCTGATCGCCACAAGTGATACTCATGTGTCTGGTAGAAGTAAACATAAATGTAAATATAAATGTATGGCAACATGGGACAAAATACAGTAGACTCAAATTAGATGGAAAGTACTAATATAGAGGATTATGATAATGATGAAGTTTGGCTCGAGTCTGTAAACAATTTGTCAGCACAGGAGATATCAGGAAGACAAATGCAGTACAGCACAATATATGAAACACACAAGATGTCTTTACTGTCCTGACATATTTTCCCTTACAATTTTAAGCTCTTTGCCAATACAGCATAGTGCAAAGACTATTCCTTCAATACTTGTCATTTGTTTTCTTAAAGTGGCATACCAGATGTGCTCTGTCATGGTCTTCCCATACCACAACAAGAACCCGGATATTCAACTAGTTTATTCCTACTACTTCCAACAAATCAACATCATAAAAAAGGAGCATATGCATCCCTAAATACCAAGCTCTCTATACACTCACAAACACTGTTACCTCCTTTATGTCCACATCAAAATACTGTGAGAATATTAAAAAATAAGGAAACTTTAATATCTTTTACTTTACCTTTCACGAAGTTCCTTTCTGAATGTTTTTATTTCACTTCTAATATGGTATCTCTTGCCTTTGTCTTTAGCCTTCTTTAACTTCCCCAGCTGGTCACTTATATCTTGTCGAATATCTCCCAGAATTTGTGATTCATCACTGCCAAGTAAATTTGCTTCAGGAATAAGGAATACGTACTAAAATATATGAACTCAGTTTTAAATAAAAGTTCATAATTATGAAAACAGGTAACACTATAGCTCAAATTTATAAATCCAGTTTTAACTAATCTAACATTATAAGTTGCTCAGTTGACTTAACTTCTGTACAGTCACTCAAAAAACTATCTTTACTAGGGGGGTCGATGAATATCAGAATGAACACAGCAATTCTTTCTCTGTGTCATATTGTCTTACACAATTTGTAAAGATAGTGTTTTGAGTGAATGCACATAAAAACTAAAAGTGGGAATTAATACAAGTTGTGTCATATTAACTTTGCCAATCTATTCTAACACAATGAGGTGAAAAGTAAGTTTGATTCCAAAAACTCATTTTATAACTACCTGTACTATGCAATAAAGGAACAACCCATGCAGAATACATCATTAAAGCTTCCAGGTTTGGTCAAGGGAACCTTCAAACTAAGGTACCTGGGGACAAGTCAAAGATTAGTTTGCTCCCAACAGCTTCCACGACCCCCCAAAAAAAGTAAGAAGCTGTGGCTGCCATACACAGTTTGGATGACATGGTTGTAAAACAGACCCTCACTTCCAGCCAACTTATACGGATATCCCAAGGAGGCAGATGAAACCTATTGTACCCTTGATCCCAGAACACTTATTGTTTTTAGGAAAAAGAACTTTCGAATTGTCATTATACTGTGTCACATTACAGGAACATTGGAAGGAAAATACTGTATTGTGGTCCGATTCCTATGGATTTCAAACAGTAAAACCCAGAGGATGAAAAGCAAAAATGTAACACGAATATAATTCCCCAAATGACCAACCATAAAGTGGGAATATCCATAGGACTAGGTGTCTGGTCAATTAAATCTATACAATTCATTATAGTGAACCACACAAATCCCAGAGCCAAATTAAAAATAATGTCAAAACAAGGATCTAGATCAAATCTAAACATGGAATGAATGTACCACACACAGCTCTCATATAATCTCCTCCTCACTCCTATGAGATAAACAAATGAGAAATTGAAGGAACCTGAAGCACCTAACATAGCTATTACCAGGTTCAAAAGAAAATTAACTTGCTAAGTAAATGGTGAGCGGCAGTCAAGATCTGGGAAAATGAGAAGAATCCAACTGTTTTCACTGAACCAACTAACTATACAAAAAGCTGGTGTTGGACTCTGCCAAAAGTAATTTTTCAGGGTCCACCCAACAAGGGATAGACAAAAATACACAATAACCCCCGAAAGAATACAATATTATGTATCAGTCAATTTATACCCAGGTAAGAAAACACAATCAAACAAGTTGTTCCAATATAATACAAATTCCAACAGGATATCTCGGTCCTTGCCATTGGATTTCTCTCAGAAACATTTGGCAGACTCCCACAACCCATAGCATCCATTTCTTACATAAAAAACCAAGTGAACTACACACCAGAGAAAGTCCGGTGCTGGGGCACTCACTCCCTAAGGAAAAGCAATTGCTATATTTGCTGCCTCACCATTAGGTTGTTGGCTAAAGTAAACACTTTAAAAAATAAAAAGACAGAAATTTCCTCTTACCCTAAACAACATCCCTTAGAACTTGCAAAATATTTTATATAAGACATGACACTTGAGTTTCTTTACAACATTAGTATAGTTATTAGATGAGTACGGTATGTCCTGTCCCAACTGTCTAAGGCTGGAATGAATTGCTGATATTTCGATTCTGTTTTAACCCTAAAGGTTTGAGTGGTAACATATTTTCCTGGCTCTTCCATGGTGCTAGTGGGAAAAGGTAATGTGGGGAGTGAGAGCAGCCTCACATTAGATCCCAGCCACCTTAGTATGAGGATTCCCTGGGCCAAACCTGGTAGCTTCATTGGCATATTATATGAGGGGTCATTCCATAATTACTTTAGGATATGAGACAAGATCATACTGTACACATAATACTACCAACCTTTGAAACAAAGCTGCATCAAGTGTATATCTCTGGGTGAGCTGTGTAACACGTGCTGGATGACCTAAACGTACTATACGTACACCAGCAACTGCAAGTCGTTCCACCAAATTATCTACAGCAAGGTTGGATGGAGCACAGGCTAGAATCTGAAACAGATTTCATGAATTAGGTTCTCTTACAGAAATACATTCAGTATGTAGCAGTTGGGATTACAAAAATCTGATATTTTACAACAACAAAAATCTACCCTGTACTATATAAATACTGAACATTTACAGTGAAACCTCATTAATTTTTTTTTGGTGGGGAGGTGATTCAGATTCGTAAAATATCATTGACACACTAATTTTGAAATGAAATGTGAAATTTGGCATGGATATACACAAACACCCCAGAAATGTCATGAGTGACAAACCCAGGCAACACCAGGTACCCCAACCAGTAACATAATATAACATACCAGTATCTTACCTTAGATTTCAATTTCACATGTTGCCGAATAACTTCAACCACAGTTGTTGTCTTGCCAGTGCCTGGTGGGCCATGAATGACTGCTAAATCACTTCTCTGAATAGCAAATTGCACTGCCTCTTCTTGAGAACTGTCCAGTTTCTCTGTGGGATCATTATAATAGCTCTTAGCTGAGGTTCAGGATGTTTGTTTTCACTGTTGAAAGCTTTTCCCCACTAAGGTGGAAGAGCCCAGGGTAAAGTGCAACACTAACTCTTCCTTCAATCACTGTTAATAATTCTCTATAACTGTTGTACCAGGTTCAAGTTATAGCAAAAGTTTCTTCACCTCTATAATTAAGTCTTAAACACAGGCACTGGTAAAAATTTATTATATCTGTGGTATACCTGTACATCATTCTAAGGTTTGGCAAAAGATTTTCCTACACCTCATTTTGTTTTCTAACTCAGCTTCATCTAACACCATAAAAGTAATTTTTTCTGTTTACTTAGAAAAGTACATTAATCTTATTAAAGGGATACAGATCGTAATATTATGCATGTTGCTGATGCGACGCAAAGCAGAACAATTTCTCCCATAAGAAATAATGTAATAAAGTAAGAATAGGGACTGGATTTTTATGTAATTTTTCTACTTTAAGAATAAAAAAGGACTGTATATGTGATATAGCACTGTAAACAATGACTCCAACAGAAAAGCCTTTTTAGTGTAAAAAGGCACATCATTTTAAACATATAATTTTTTTATAATGTAAATTACCTTGAGGAGTTGATGAGTTCATCTATTTTAATACACCTTCAAATGTCAAACTTAGTATCAATCACCTTTTCTTCCCTCAGCAACAACATTTGCACTATGCTTGTCAATCATTATAGAACGAGTGCAAGGATAAATCCAGATACAGGAATACCATGCATATCTGCAATTGATATTTTAACACCTCTATTTGATATTTACAAAGCATACCCTGCTTATTTGCAAATAAAAATTACAATACCCTACAGAAATATTTCAAACCGTGTAGGCTAGCGGCATATGGAGTGTACCTGTATACCGAAAATACGTTTATCTAAAATATGAAATATGAAGAACATGGGTGTTTATGTGTTTAGTGAACTCATGCGTGGACTTTGACATGTTGCCAAGGACTGTCCCTGTAGCTACACCCTCTTACCTCTCCCCCTACCAGGCCAAGATGTGTTATTGTTATTTTTCTACTCATATATTTGGGTAGGTATACGTAATTTTATTTTATTTTTTTACTGTTACGTGCACACATTTATCATACAGAATGTGCAAAAAAAAAAGAAAGAAATCATTATCATATGGTCAAAAACAAAAAAGAGTAGAAACATTTCTTACGTCCGTGGGAGTTAGTGTGCCTATCTTGGGAGGGGAATGGGTGAGCAAGAGTGGGGATGTGGCATCTGGGAACTCAGTCTCCCCCTAACTCATTCAAATAATGAGGAATGCCTGTACAGCTCTTCCCTGACTTACGACGGGGTTAGGGACCCAAATCCAGGTCGTAAGTCGAAAATGCTTAAATAGTACATAGAAAATCTAAAATGGGCGTCTTTTTTTCTTCTCAGCACCACAAAACTCTCACTTTTAAGCTTGCCAGCCATTTTAAAGTGAATTACAAACGAAAATTGTCTCTGTGTACTGACGTCGGGACTCGAAAATACGTAATTTGACAAAATTTTGGTATGACTGAGGCTGTATGAAGTTGCACTGTAGCAACCATACTGTTCCTTGAAAATTCAACTCATTCTTTTCACATTTACTTCCCCCAATTGTAGTCATTTTCTCCACATGTCACTGCTACAGCATCATTTCTACTATTTCATATACTACCACACTCTTTATTATACCCTACCTCAAGTTTTCAACCTCCTAATTGATCTGTCACTTCAATATACTAGTCAATACATTATCACATACAAAGACACTGTACTCACGATTATAGAGGGTCAATTTGCCATCTGTCCGAGTTAGCTGCGGTGGCAGGGAAGGTGCTGTAGATCTAGGTGTTGTCTCCCCAAATAAAACTGACACTAAATGTGAAGATGGACCACTAATCTGTTTTTCAAGCTCAACCAGTCCTGATTTAATCCTTCGATATGTTACCTGAGAAGAAAATGGAAAACTTAGTAAAGCTAAAAAGGTTAGAGATGAATACAGTATGACATGAATTGTGAAATGATATACGGTACCTGTACTAATGTTATTTATGGTAGATGTGAAGGTTGACTGAACAATGTATAGAGAAAAGACTGCCAAATGGTTGGGATATCAATCATATTGTTGAGAAATTAAAGAAAAAATTTAACCACAGAGAGAGAGCAAAAACTATACAGTGTCCCTTCTTGATATGGAATACCTAATAATCAATTGGGAGAATAAAAGGAATGTTGAAGAGTCACAGGCATATTAAAATATTTAATGACTACAAAAACTAGAATTGGATGAAAATTGACTATAGAATATCCATACATCATTAGCTAGTTTGTGTAGCTGCAGCAGTACATCATCACCAAGAGTGTCCAATTCATCCGCACCCTCATCAATAACAATTCGGATCAATGCCTGAGAAACATATGTCACAATAGCTGTTGTTACTTGGTTGTCTTGCTCTGAACCAAAAACACGTACACCCACAATATCACCTGTGGAGGAAATTCCCATCAAAAAAGGAGAAAAAAATACAGTGTCAATTAATTTTTATCAATCAATACACGTACAGTACTGTTCTCATAGCTGAGGGATATCAACCACAGTATTCCACATTTTCAGGTTGTGTCTACCACTTGTTTAAGTTCCCTGTTGCCTACCACAGTTATTATTTTAGAATACGTATACAGGTATTTTCAATTTGGAAACAACCATCACCTTTTGTCTTTACAGCATAACTCTTAACCCATATTATTTACCTTTTTCCACTAATTTGTTAACCAGTTTTAGTAATGCCTCTTCATTAACCATGATAAGAGCAGTACAGTATCATCTGCATAGCATATAGTGTAAAGTATTTTATATTACTTTACCATTATCTTTTATTTCTTCATTGTAACTTCGAACTCCTCTCATTATGAATTTTGAATATATATTATACAGTGTTGGAGGTAGAACACAGCCTTGTATTATTCCCTATCTCCTTCATTAACCCAAGTTTTTCCAAGACCTCTACAAGTTTATTGTGTTTTATCTTATAAAAGATTTTTCAAAATCAACAAAGCAGATATACCCGGTAATTCTTTTTTTTTAATTTAAAGCCCTTTCACTCAAAAATTTTAAACCATATAGAGCTTCTCTAGTTCATTTTCCCTTTCTAATTCCATTTTCATCTTCAGATAACTCATTGTCTAGTCTAAATTTTATTCTACTTAAAATTATATTAATAAAAATTTGCAGGCATGACTTATTACACTAATTGTTCTGAACTGGGTGCACTTGAAGGCTCCTCGTATTTTAGGTAAAAATGTTTTGAAATCACTGGGAGTCTCCTTTGAAGGATATAGAATTACATATTTTAGTCAAACATTTGACCCCATTCTTGCCCATTTGTTTTATAAATTCTGCTCCATGTTGATCAACCCCACAAACTTTATCATTTTCCTCACAGCTACCTCAACTTTTGATTCTAGAATTAGTAGCTTCATTTTTATTTCCTTTTTGTTTCTCACCTCCATTCTATCCTTATCATTCTTCTACATACTCTGCCCATCTCTTTTTTATTTACAACATGTAATAATTCTTAAAAGTACAGTACATAAAAACATTTTTTTTAGAATATATTTTTTCTCCTATCATTCCAATTATTTACCTTATTTAGTGAAAGACCACCCACTAGAGGCAGCCATGTCAAAGGAAGGTGACCAACAGCCTGTGTAGGATACTATGTCACAGACAAATGTGGATTTTGTAAAATTTGAAATCAGAAACAAATATGGATATTGTATCCAACTAACACAAAGTCATTGAAAGTCAGTTGAGTTATCATAGTGTGGCACTCAAAAATGATGGATATATCTTGGAAATCCCATTTTGTAATGAAGGCAAGATTAATTGATTTGTGTATAGTTATCACCATGACTACAGGTTGAAAACCCTGACAAACCCTCGACAACAATGGCTGTGAATAATCCATTAATTAGTTAGCTATATCTTCTAATCAAAACCATGTGTTCTCAAAAAGGGATATTTGACAGCAAAAAATCCTACTGAAGGCTGAAATTGCTGATGTCACATTACGAGAGTCTAGACTCTGGCTGTCATTCATGATGACGATAAATGATGACTGAATATCAATTGTTATGAGGCATATTAGAATAACCAGGACCAGGTCAAGTTAGTCTAGCTGACTTCATGTCATATATACATATCCTGAAGACCACATTCTGATATAAAATGAGATTTGAAAGATCAATATATCGTCTATAAGCTCAAGCCTGTCCTAGGTGACTCGTGTATCTGAAGCTAGTTAAATGAAAGGTGAAAACTGTAATTTACTTTTGTAGTAAATAGGCAGTCAGAAGAGAACAATTTTGATGTGCCAATTCTCAAAGGCAGATGGCAATATACTAGTCAAAATACAGCAGACTGGTATGAAATAAAGAGGGTCCATAATAGCCTTGGTTTGATGCGTGTGCTGATTGTGTAGACATGGAACTAAAAAAAATAACAGGCCTCAAAATGCAGCCTCTGTGCCTGAACTCTCCCCTCTGACCATTGGGTGTGATGGGGAGGGTATGGTGATTGGTGTACCCAAAATATGTTAAAATATCAACCCTGGCTGTGTATATTGCAAGTGCTACCTGGCTGTAGTATAGTATAAATGTTAGAAAAGAAGAGGTAGAAGTATTTAACTAAGAGTATAATAACAGCTGTCAGGAACATGACCAGTGTACTGTACTGGACTGGGATGACGACAGAATATGGTTGCAACAGAAAAGTATTACTAATACTGCAATGCATTAGCTTTATCCATTAATGTCTGAAGTATATCTGGAATTTCAACCCTTAGCCTTGATGATAACTACACAAACACTGCCTATGACAGATATGAGACTATAAAATTAATAAGCATATAAGAAACATAAGAGGTTATCTCAGTTTCTCTGTCTTAAAACCCTTGTGCAACAACATACAAGCCTCCATACCTGAAGAAAAGTTGTTTGCTGGCAATATGGCATCCTTCTTAGATGGAACAAGAGTAAACAGTGGCCGCCCATATAGTCCAGTTGACCTCTCCTTGATCACCAGGCGAGCTAAAACTATCCCTCGTGCTTCTAAAGTCTTCACTGATACTCCTTCAACCTGCCAACCATTTCATACATGACTAACCAGTATTGATATAGGTGATCTATCTATCTGCACTCAAAACAAAAGTGTGTGATATGTATAAGCCTTATACAGACATGAAAAATTTGTCAATACCTGATCAAGGGTTTTTCTTAACAATTGAGGTTACAATTCCATTGTTAGTTATAACAGATGAGAAATCAAATCAATTAATTAAATAAAAAAATATCTGTATTTATGAAGATACTAAACTTTATCTAACAATCAGTAAGGCTTGCATTAACCCCTTGTGAACGGGTCCTCTTTGTGCTGAATAAAATTGTATGGTATTAACCAAATATCAAAAGTAGCATCTCCAAAGTAAAGGGGTCAGGAGAGATAGTCTATTAAGCCCTTGCATAGAAGGTCCTCTCTGTGTTGAAGAAAATAGTCTGACGAGGGTCAAATAAAATATCAAAAGTGGCATCCCTGTATTGAATGAGATAATATTTTATAACTTAGGAAAAGTTAACCATCAAATCTTGTACAAGTAATTAATCTTCCTTAGATACACATGACTCATTAAGTAGTGCCATCAAGTCACATAATTCTGGCTAAATAATGAGAACTAATTGTACTATTGTTTTCAGCTTCTCAAACTTTTTTATTTATCTAGTTACAGTATACAGTACACTGTTACATCATAGGCCCCATCACCCACCCAACCTCACAAGATATTTCTGTCTCAAACCTGATAAGTTTTTGGAGTCCTTTACAAAGTTCAACTAAAGGGGAAATCACACTTAAGTCTAGGAAAGCCCATAGAGGCCTGCAAAATGTGTAATCATTATTTCTTAACCTAGTGTGAGTATCCTGAATGATGGTAAGAAGTCTGAACTGTTTTCTAGCTATCTCTGGCATCTTATCAATCGTTTCCAAAGGAAGTCAATGAAATAAAGTTTTTAGTAACACTCAGAGCACACTAAGAGGCAAGTATTTCAAATTATTCTGCCACTGTATAAAGTCAGTTAGCATAGACTCTTTAGGTGGAGCACCATCTTCAACTTTTCTCCATTCCCTACTCATCATCATTAATGCATCATGTCTGACATTGGCAATTATGGTTTGCCACTCAGGTCTGTCTCTTGCTGTTTGGATCAGCTTTTCAGACATCCATCCACATCCATGATCCTCCAGGATTCCATCCAGAAACTTTCAACATTGCCTCCCTCTACCTCTCGCCCCCTCCTTCTGTAATATGATTTAAATTTAATTACAAATATTCTATTACTCAATATCATTCACTTGTAATTAATACATCAGCAGTTTCTTGTACTTACATGTTTTATCCATTTTTGTCAAATGTACTTCCCATTCCATAATAAATAAAATAATTAAATTTTACATTTCTCTAAAATCTTCCAAGTCTATGCATGATAGCTTCATTTATTTTTAGATATAAGTAGACTATGCATGCCCTGGGCACCATAAATATAATTTTCTTAAAGTCAATGGTTATTGGTTGCTTGCCTTACAATACTGCACTAATCACCTGAACTGATTCCCAACATACCAAACTGTACTGTATAACTAAAATAGAATTTCTGAAAAAAATCTATACAAGTACTGTAGTATACAAATTGTCATGACTGATGGGTAGAACTGAGGTGAGGATATTAAATGTAAACTAGTAAGCAGACAGGAGATAAATAAAGGCACAAGCTCAACAAAGATACAACAGAAAGATCAATAATACCACTGATGATTAAAAAGGGAAAAGTAATAATAGCATTTAGCTACCTCAGTTGAATTAACAGTTTTACCTTCTGCCATTCAACCAGGATATCTGTCATTACCTGTGTTTGAGCAGCTGAGACTTCTGCTTTCCTCTCTTCCTCAAGGAGAGAGGTGTGTAACACAATCCAATCATGGCAGGACAGCTGAGGTCTTTTTACTGACATTCTTTCAACTTTGCAACAACATAACCTGGAAAATAACAATGGTCAGTGTGTATCTTATTTTCCAGATCAATAGTAAAAATTTGCATATACAGTACTGTACTATAGCTTAAAACTGACCTGGCACAACCTTGGTCAAATACACTCAAGAAACAATCTGTGAATTTGTAGTTTACTATAGCTCTTGACCTGTAGCTAAAATATTGCCAACTCATCTCAAATACTGTACCTTGGGGATAGTAAACAGACCCCCTGCCATATTAAACAGAAAGTACTTAATTTGATATCTGGTACTAATGAAAGCAACTTTGTTGAAGAGTCATGGTGTAATTTTACGCTTTTAGTGGACGTGAGAGTACACTCGGACTGAGCGGGTTAGTTGTAAACAAACGGACAACAGGTGGTGACTTGGCATGTTTTTCAGGAGTATTTACGGTAAATAATTCAACTTTCGGCATTTCCTAAATCTAAAATCCAAATAGCAAATATTAACTCTTTCTATAGAAACTGGTGAGGACGTTAAATTGAATCTTAAGCCACTGTACTACCAAACTACCAATGGTTTTGTAATCCACTTCATTAAGGGAAACTTCTACAGAAGTTAGCAAAAATTTTTGATATTATATTAGTTTCAGTCATCTGGGGAATCTAAGGAATTTATCCCCGACCAAAAAGGGGGATCGGGGGGGGGGGGCAAAGCCCTCCAGTTAGGTTATAGTTCCTGGGTTCTGTGGCTCTGTTAGGTTAGGTTTAGTTAGGTTACATTAGTTTTGGTTGGTTAGGTTGGAATCTGGGTAAATACTGTACACGGATGACCGAAACTTAAATTTTACCGAAATGTTTATTTGAGTGAGCAACTGAACTTATGCTTTACCTTTCTACCATTTCAAGGATCAATTTTCTGATGAACTTTAGGCCTGTTGATTGACAAGGATTTGGAAAACAGTGGTCCGGGCCATTTCTTTACATACTAGACAGTACCAGTGAGAGCCGTGACCCACCAGTGGGATAAGCACCCCTGGGAACTAACCACCATCTTCTGACAAAGAGGTGCTAATCCGTCCACCCTGGGAACAACAGAGGGCCGGCAGGCTATGCGCCTGACTACGGGATAACACATCACCGCGCAGTGAGGTACTGTGACACCACCCCACACCACACGGTGTCTCTTTGACCATGTGAGGTCCCTCATATCAACACCAGAGGACGAGTTACCACATCACGTGAACATCACACCACCCGATGTCTCCATCACCACGTGAGGTCCCTCACATCAACATCCGAGGACGAGTTACGAGTTACTACACTACGTGAACACCTCACCGACCTGGTATCTCCATCATGACCAGCCCACACCCAGGCCATCAACTGTAAACTAAATAATTTGTAAGTTCAATCATTGTTCCTTCTTCTTTAAGTAATGAAAGCTTTTGTTAAACGACCCACCCACCCCATGTCTTTGTATGTAATGTTATTTTTGTCCGATGTATATTTCAGCCTTCGGGCTGCCGACTTTTTCAATAAACCGTCAATTATTATTATTATTATTATTATTATTATTATTATTATTATTATTATAAGGAACTACGGTATTTTTGCATTTACACACGACACATTCCTACCACTAATCTATTATCATATTCGAATAAGACGTCTAATTATAAGATAATTTTCATTTACATGTATTACATTACCGGTGGAAATGTATAATAACGGAGAAAGCGTATCCAAAATTTTCTCTATTTTCTTCCATTAATCTTGCGCCATTATAGCCTACCTCACCTCCTACACTGCGTGTCTTCTTCATAAATCATCACGCGCATGCGTTCCCGTACACGTCACGCGGCCAATCAAAAGCGTTTTTGTTTTTGCAATCAATTAAAATGATTTTGGGTTTAATTCGCGGTATTTTTGGCCCAATCAAATACGAGTTTTATTTTGGATCTCTCATATTTCGAAATTCAAATTCAGTTCCGACCATGAAAGTCTGCGATGAGCGTCACTTAAAATATATGGAGCTGATTGCAAGTTTTTGGGAAAAAAACGAAGAAACTATAGCATTTTTTCGATCGAATGGTGTTCTTCCAACCTCAGTAAAGTGTACTAAGAGCAAGACCGAATGAAAATATCGCAAAGACCAACATATGTGGCATTGTGTAAGAATCTCAGAATCCAACAACGAACAAGAACCAGGCCAATAAGGTAAGAAATAGGTGATTCCATCAAATGGTAAGAGTCAGTTAGGTTAGGTTTGGTTTTTGTTTTTCTAGTGTTTTTTGGTGTATTTTGCCATGATTTTTTTCGGAAAACGTCCAACGAAAATTTTTCGAAAAAAACGGCTAATTTCCGCAAGAAATGAAGGTCATATTCGGTCTAAACACAAACAAGTACACTAGAAAAATATATTTTTGACTTTCTAATAGTGTGGTGACAGTGCAAATTTACCGGAACTACTTTTTCACACGAGGGTGGTAGACCTATAGAACGGTCAACCAGCTCAAGCTGTGGAATCAAAATCAGCACTGGGCTTCAAAATAGCAATTTACAAAATTATCAAGAACAATGAAGACCCCACACAGGCCACTGGCATCCTCCCCTCGGCATAGCCACCTCTAATAAGTGCCATTAGGTAAATAAGTAAAGGTAAATTAGTATGACATCAATTTGGAACTCAATATTCGTCAATAGCTAATTCAGTAGTATGATCTAGGTTACGTTGTTAGTTGAACCTTTACCGAAGAATTGCCCACAAGTTGTGTTTGACGTGATAAACAAAGCATACAGAATATGACATACCATAAATTAAGCATACAGAATATGACATACCATAAATTAAGCATACAGAATATGACATACCATAAATTATTTAAGTTAAGAATAAATAATACACGAGCAATACTCACCATCAGCTTGTCTTACTTCACCATAGCGCGAGGTACAGTGTAGGTGCCAGTGTTACCAACGTCAATTCGTTAATTCATCTCAGAGCTGGATCCATGGGGAGGGGTCCGGAACCCCTCTTTTCATCAGAAAATTCCAATACTTTTTCTTTAAGGCAGTATTGTACTTAGGCGTTTTTGTATAATAAAAAGAATATAGTAAAAAGTAAGGATCACCTGAAGAATCGTCGCCCCAGAATGTCCACCTGAAGAAGTGTCACTCCAGGATATCCCACCTGAATAAGTGTCACCCCAGCCTGCTCCACCTGAAGAATCGTCACCCCAGCCCACAGTAAATATAATATGTATAATTAGGATAACATAAATATATTCCTTAGTGTTATGCTTCTTTATTGTGATGCATATTACAAAGGGTACTGAACAGCAATGTGTTGACATAAAATTTCCAGAGGATTATCAGAAAAACGATCATGCCACATGAATTCTTGAAGGTAAATATTTAAAAAGCTTCGTTTGCAGCCACGCATGGTCTTGATGTCACTCTTGTTCTTGTTCCAATATGATTCAATCGTTTGTGTGTGCACACCAGTATTCACATCCACAAAATTGACTGAGTGGTTCACAGTTCTGTGCGTGTATCCAAGACCTTGAATATTGCGGTATGCTCTCCACTCATCACTGTGAATGACTGATCCTTGTTGAACTACTTTGAGTATTATAGGAAGAAGGGTGGCAGCATCCCTTGTCTCGACAATTTCCACGTAGCCAATTGAAAGGCTCCTGCTCGTATCGACGAATCCGAAAACCCAAATAGGAGAGTGTGGTGCACGTCCACGATGATGTTTCGGCTTTTGGGAGAAGCAAGATTCATCAATTTCTACGGTGATCTCTGGTCCGCCAAGTTTGATTGGATTTGCTTCAAAGTACACAGTACAGACTCCCTAAAAAAGCTGCAGCAGTCAATCATCGTTTTCTCAGAAAGGTTCACCTGACGGCCTGCTGCTGTTTCTCCAATACGCTCACTCCAAAGATACATTGTATTGGATTCCTCCCCTACAAACGCTGTTTGTCGCTGAGTAGCCGATCCCGCGAATTCCCCAGTGTATGCCTCGTGGTCTAGGTCAGCAACCAGCGCCGCCATACATCACGGAGGTCAACTATTAAGCCACGCCTACCTCCGCTATATAAGATCTGACCTCGTGGTAACCTATCTTCTTCTACCTACACCAACCAGCAAGCAACACCTCCACCTATTCCTCCTGCCTGGCGACCCTCGCTCCCGCCGGCGAGCATGGCGACCCACAAGCTGGTCCTCCTCTGAGCATCCTCACCAACCAGCTCTCTCTACATCACGCTTGTAACCACGCTGCCACTTCCCAGCACCAAGCTGCACTGTACATTCAATACAATATGTATACAGAGAGCATATTGTGAGTTTCCTTTCTCCATCCCATCCTGAGTGTGAACCAAATAACCCGTACCCCACAACATAACATGAACCCACTTCCGAAGTGAAATATTAGAAAGGGCAAAAAAGATCCTATTCTTATTGACTTAGTGGATTTATACTTCAGGCAGTCTTTTGTTTGGCATTTCCACAGAAAACCGTCCTTCGATCTGGTGCATTTTGTCCAATTCCTCCAGTTATCACAAGTATCACGGTTTAAACGTCTGTTTTGTTGAAGCCACCGAATAACTTTAGAGGAATCATCACACAACAGTGGTAGGACGACAGTTTGGAAGATATTGCGTATCGTGGTCGACTGATGATTATGACTAAAATTTTTTGAGCCCACTTACTATTATATAGTCCTCCTACCTGACTGGAGGGTCCTGACTCCACTAACCTGAAGATTAACAACCGTGGAGGCTCCTGACCCCACCTGAAGAATTGTCACCCCAGGTGTAGCCACCTGAAGAACCGTCGCCCCAGGATATCCCACCTGAAGAATTGTCGCCCTGCCGGACTCTGGGGCGACGATTCTTCGGGTGATCCAAAAGTAATTACTATTGTCCTCAGAATATTTCCAAATATCAAGTGCACATGGCTTCAAAATGGCCTCAAAATGCCCAGGATATTGGTCAGATTAAAAAATAAATAAAATTTTGAGGGCTTACAGCGCCCTCTACCCCCAAAACCCTCTACCTGGGTGGGCTCGCTGTGCTGCCATGTTTCCCCACCCACAATTTCTTGGACCCCCCTCTTGATATTCCTGAATCCGCCCCTGTCATCGTTATATTTTGTTATTTTGGAAGAAATTAAATCGTCTAAATACAAAATTTGGCCAATAAATAACATTTGTAATATATTTGGCACCCCAAATAATGCCGATGATGTGCTTTTGTCACCTCAGTAAATCTCCTAATATCAATTGCACAAAAAACAGCTCTGTGGGCTTGCTGAGGATCCACTACACGCTCACCAATTTTTGGACGGGGACCCTTTGATATTCCTGTATCCGCCCCTGGAATCGTATTTTGATATATGATTCAAACCACCAAGAAGTTTCTTCGCAATGGTACTAGTGATAAGGTGTGCCTGCTTGGAATTGACAATTCCACAAATGCAGTACTGTTACAGGCATTTTTCTTACTTTATCTTCTTCGCCACTTCTCAGCTTATTAGCTGGTCGGACACTCGGTCATTTCATTCTTACACACTGTTAGAAAGGAATAGGTACGCAAAAGTTATGCTTATTGTAGGAAACTATTTTGTCAGGTGGGTTAGAAGTCAGAGAAGTGTGTTCCTAATTTTTTTCACAACTTTAACAAATCGTAATAACATCTAGTGAAGGAAAACTCATTCTCCCTTTGTTCTTAAGTACACGTGAATAAATTGAAAGGCTTTGGTGCTGTAAGAACAGAGATACAGATTTCACAGTCAAGCTTCTTATTCAGTTTGGATACAACAAAGCCTGCAATATATGCTACAACCTTCTCAGAGTATTTCGATAGACACGGAACGTCGGCCTGAACATCAGGATATTTTTCTCCCAAATGATGATTTAGCTTATGACCGTCAAGAACTCTACTCTTAGTTGAGCTATTATTAATCACCTGAATAGCTGATACTCTAAATTTTGCCGTTTTTTCAAGGTTACCAGAAGCTGTCAAGATGGGAACAGATTCCAGAGGGATACAGTTACCTTGCCAAATTTCTTGTATTTCATTGTGCAAAGGCAATTTTTTATAAACAGCTGAAAATTGTCGAGCTGTTGCACCAGCCTGACTGTGACAGGACCTTTCTACCTTCTACCAATACGGCGGCCACTCGCGCGGGCTTCTCCCAGCGCGCCTCATTGCCGTCTCCACCTACAGTATATTAAACCTCCTTGGTATTGTACAATACAAATAAAAAAGTGATATATATATATATATATATATATATATATATATATATATATATATATATATATATATATATATATATATATATATATATATATATATATATATATACAGGGTGTACACACAATATAGGCACAGGGTACAGTAAAAGGCAGAGGAAATACATAATATTTTAATAGATGAGTATCTGGTTGAGAGTTCCACTCTTTAGTCAATACTCATCTGCCTATATACAGTACTGTACAGCTGGCAGCCCTACACATGACCAACTGACAGCCCCGTAATCTTAGCTGACAGGTAATCTTAGCTGATAGTCCCTGTATCACCAGCTGACAATCCTGTCACCAGCTGGCAGCCTAATGTATCACAATCCTGAAATCTTCTGTATCACCAGCTGACAACCCTATATATTACCAGCTGACAACCCCGCATATCACCAGCTGACAGCCACTCATATCACCAGCTGACAACCCCACATATTACCATATGTCAGTCCCATATATCACTTAGCTGACAGCCCTCTTGCACCACTTGCTCATTGCCTCATGCAGATTGGAAGAGTTTGTTAGATAATGTGTAAATATCACAGTTATAGTTTCATCAATGCCAACATGTTGAAGCCCATTTTTATAAGCTTCAGTATTAGTGCAAATCACTTCAGCATGTTAATACTATGATTTTTATTGACTCTGTATCTGTGTTCTTTTGGCTAAATAAACTGTATCAATATCAATAACAGGGTAGATGAGAGGAAGGCTCAAGGCAGCCCATTTCTGGTTTAAACCCAGATGAATCAAACCACCCAGTGTCTGACTAAAATCCAAAGGGATCAAACTACCTCAAATTTAGCTTAGCCCTGAAAAAGGGCCCAAACTACCTTCGGTCTGGCTTGATCCAGAAGGAAGCAAGCCATATCGTTTCTGACTTAACTTGATGGAATCAAACTTTCCTGTCTTTTTTTGCCCTCCAAAATGAGATCAAATCACCCATGTTTGGTTTAGCCCATATCTTAATTACCCACATTACTAAACTACAGCCGAATGACCCTACAATAATAATAAATTGAAGAATGTCAACTACTGTACATTACAAAGTAAATCGCAGCTGCTTCTGTGATCTGTCATTTCCACTCAGACCTATAATGAAACTGTTCCGCCTTTGATTTGTATGTCTCACTGCCCCCCCCCCCCTACGAAACTTTATGAGAAGCAAAAATGGTCTGTTTTGGAGGGTAGAGAACTTAAATGTCCCTTTATAAAAATTAGTACCTGCTGCCGTAGTGCAAAGATCCGTAAATATAAAAGGCACATTATGATTTTGAACTCTTAAGTAATATATCTGTTCATTATGGTAAGAATAATAATACTCGTATACAATATAGTCAAGCCCTACTTTCATATTATACCTTTCATTTTCATACATGGACATTCAAATAAATAAGTTGATAACCATATTCTCATTGAAGATGTAATATAAATTGACCTGTATTGCCGTTCATTACATTATAATACTGTCATAATTAACAGCACGATAGTAAAATGGTGAGTAAGTTATTTTTGTGCAGTCGATAAATATTATTTTGTGGCGACAACCTATTTGATACCAGTATCGAAGGTAAGCGAGGGTCATTTTCTCTTTGCATTATTCAAAAGATGTCCCACTTTTTACGGTAACTCTAGAAAATCTGGTCGCTTTAGGGTGCTTCCACACTGAAGCTGGAACGGTCTATTTCTGACGCAAATTGTCCGACCGAATAAGTCAAGTTAACAACACATAACACACACTATATCAGCATCACATCTATTCCGAATCTTTCAAATATTTATTCCGTATGAGGGTAGACGGTTTCCCTCTCCTTAGAAAGACAGCGAGTCATAGAGCAAGTGCAATATTAACTAAGCTGAGAAAATCATAATACTGTACTGTATTATGTAATTTATGGAGCTAAGAGATAACTCTACGAGCAGAAATGTAGCGCTGCTTTAAGTGCGACATGTAGACTTAAAAGACAGAACACATATGACCTTATGTCTTCCCTGAACAAAAAGGTGCAGCAGGTCTTGTTGACGTGAGTTGCAATTTTTCGCTCTTGCTGGTGTTGATGGATCACAGCCTCATGGAACCTCTGGATCTGAAACAGCAATTCTTGATCACTCCTGTTTTATTCTATTTATCTTTTTTTGTATTGTACATATACTGTACTCCTACTATTTTCGCCTTCCATATAAACATAATTACACACTTATTCTTTCTAGTTATCTTCCTTTGTATCTCAAAGTACAGTATACTGTATGTATTAACTCGAGTTGACACCATCTTGAGTGATTTAATTCACATAAGATTTTTATAAAGGCTTTGGTAGTAACTCTCGACAGGAGCTGCCATGCACAGGCCAACCGGCCTATTGCAGACTCCTTATTTTCTTATGTTCTTATGTTATGTAATTAATACTAAGGAATATCACGCAACACTCCAGCACCAACGACCATTACACAATATTGTAGTGGTCAAGAGTTTTGGGGTAATACTTTTTTCCCTGGGAAAAGTCAGATTTATATCCCAGAAGTATGCCATTTTGCCTTTTAAGTCTGGGTTAAGATTACTCCAACATGTAGTATAGTACATTGATACCCAGACTAACAATGGGTGTGTGGTAGATATATTATACAGTAGTTAGCTGTTAGTCACTGTTGACTCACTGTTACAGTACCTACAGCCATTATCACTTCTATCTCTCCTTTATATGACATCCCCCCTTTTTATATATTCATAATATACACAGTTCACTTTAATATTTCCAACCTTAACAGATTTACAAAAAACATCCATATATCATTTAAAATTATAGCTACAGTACTTGTTTTTGTACCTTCACTACAACAAACATTACTAAAAACCGCTAAATGTGTGGAAACTGTCAAGTGAGAACCGACTTTATCACGTACGGACAGACTGACAAACATCAATGCTGTATCTCCCTAAACTTTTATTCAGGGGGACTAAAGAGTCACCTCTAATTTCTGAACTATCATTACAATAAACATTACGTTAATGATATCGTTACTTACTTTTGTATTTTTATTTGAGAACACTTTTCACTTCGTTCATGATGTGTTCATTCATAACGATGTGTAAGAGGAGCATGCCAACCCCCTGCAAGGAGTTAAGCAGCGTGAAGATAACAGCCACCACGTGAGTACCTGCCAACAGAGGAAGGGAACGCAATATTGACTTTGTTCTCAAGATTGTGCCCGTTAATTGAGTCCTGTACCTAGGAAGTGCAAAATACATTACAGGCTATATTTTCAAGATCACAACCACTATGGAAGTGTTTGACATAGGGGATAAAATATTTGTGGTTTCATTCTCGAGATAACCACTTTAAGAGAATACGGCTAAGGTAAAAGGGTGTTAAATTTTATCAGTCTTTAGCAATGAAAGTGGTAAATATTGGTTATCAGTCCTGACTGGGTTTGGCTTGTCAATGTACTGTAAACGAAAAAGATATTCAAGATAATTTGAAATCTTGTGATTTGTACAACATTACCTTTTGAGAAGTAGAGGAACCCAGTGAGCCACGTGAAGCACAGGAGGAGTAGGACCATGAACGAGCTGCAGAACTTCTTGCCCAGCTCAGCCCTGCTCGTGGTATCTCCAGGTGGACCATCACTATACTTGCTCTGTCCAGGTCGCTTTCTAGGCCCCTTACTAGACTCAGATCGCTTCTCAGACCCCTCAGAGTCTCCAGGTCGAATTTCCGAACACTGTGATTCTTCAGGTTTACTGTCACGCCACTTTATATCTCTAGATCGATTTTCCCGCCCTTTAGTGTCTCCAGGTCGATTGCCGAGTCCTTTAATGCCTATACATCGATTTTCTAGCCTTTTCGTGTCTTCAGGCCGATTATCGAGCCCTTTAATGCCTATAGAACGATTTTCTATCCCTTTAGTGTCTTCAGGTTGATTTTTAGGCCATTTAATGCTTCCAGATTGATTGTCCAACCCTTTAGTGTCTTCAGGTTGATTATCTAACCCTTTAGTCACAGTGTCTTCAGGATGATTGTTATCAGGTTGATTATCCAGCCCTTTACTATCCTCAGGTTGATCATTGGGCAACTTAATATCTCCAGATTGATTATCCAACCCTTTTGTATCTTCAGATAGATTATCAATCCGTTTATTGTCTACAGATCGCTTTTCCAACCCTCTAATGTCTAGAAACCGATTATCGGGCCACTTAATAATTCCAGATCGATTATCATGCCATTTGGTTTCACCGGGTCCCCTTTCACCTCTCTCACTGTCCTCCGGTCGTCTGTTATGCCATTTAGCATCTCCAGGTTTCTTCTCACACCGACTAGGGTTTTTGGGGGTCTTCTCAAACCAGACGACCCTTATGGTCATCACGAAGACTGACAGATTCACCTTGTTGGATACATTAATAAGGTTGAGTTACTGCATATAATTATCCTATTAAATTATATTTACATATTATCATAATATGAAAAACATAATTTGTTTAGATTCACACACTGATGGGTTTATATACTGAAGTTACCAGTCAAGTCCTCAAAACCTATCAATTTACACTAAAAACAATATAACAGAATTAACAGATGTACTCTTGAATGGGTGAACTAAGCTAAAAAAAAGGGTCGTCATCACTCACTAGGAGAATGACCGTGATCGGGGCAGCGAAGGTCCAGATCAGTCCACGAGGCGCCAGCCAACACCTGCAACAATCATCATCATTAATGATTTACAGCCATTTTCCATACTTGTTTGGATTAGCTGTGATTATCTGATGGCAGCTCTCTAAGCTGTATGGACTCTTGCAGCCTCTCTCATCAGGTATTTCTCATAACCTCTCCCCATGTTATGCTTGGCCTATCCCTACTCTCTTCTCATCCACATTCAATCTCATGCACCTCTTGATTCAATTAGTCTTCTTAATATGATCGAATCACCTCAGCCTACCTGTAATCAAAACTTCACCAATACTCTCAATACCCAGCCAGGGCGCCCTCTTAGCTCTGAACAGGGTTTCCTATCTCTCAACGTCACATTATACATCTATGTTGCCACTCACATATCAGCTTGTCCAAGCCTTTTATATGTCATTCTATTTAACTGCCCACGTTTCATTACCAGAAAACACACTTCTCGTACCGGTTGCTTCCAGCCACTTCTGACTTTTGCAATTCCATTTCAGATCATGTCAACCAGGTTGTAGAATTCGTCAGCACAATCCAGAGAAATATACCCATGTCAAGCTTTTCCAGCCCTGGCAGAACTTAACACATACCGATAATAAATCATGGAAGTCGGAAGGAAGAGGATGTAGCAGTTGGTGTGAGCATAAATGTGACTTGATGGTTGAAGTGGGGTAGACATGATGGACTATGCAAGAATGACATGCTGGGAAGGGGCAAGCAATCTGTTGATGGATTTTGTGAGAGTGACATGCATTTTGATTGGTATATTATTGATATAGATGGTCGTTCGGACATTTATGTCTTGGTTCTCGATTCGAAAACTTTTGGCCTGTTGCTGAAACCTCTAACCCGGTGCTGTTTTAATGAATTGTACTGTTGTGTGATCATGACCGATGAGCTGAAACATTAGCGGAGCCATTTAGCAATTTTGTTCACCTTTTCTACGTTATTACTTCATAAAATGACATTATTTTAAAATTATATGAAAGATACACCTTTGATTTTTTAACAAAAGATGAAGAGAGTGTAGTTGATGACTTACTCCCGCTTTGTGTCGTAGCCGATGACGTGTGTGAGGGCGAAGGTAATGGATACATACACTAAAGGCACCAGGTAGCCCACACACAGGTAGTACTTCACCTGGATGCTCCCCGTCTTCCACATCTGTTAAACAAAAATTTATATACTGGATAGCATGAACTAAAAACTTATTGCAACAAAGTTGATCCTGGAATTTGCTTCAGCAATATGAAAACATTAATAAGGGCTTTAAAATTCTCTTATTGCCTTTGGAATAGACTGACTTGCCGTGGGAAAGCTGTGATACATATGCAGTAGTACAGTAGTAGTCAATGTAGGGAATAACCTCACCTTGACAAAGCTGAGGTACATGTGAAAGGCCTCGATGGCACTCCAGGTGAAGGTGGCGAGGAAAAGGTATTGAAGGAGGGCAGCGACGATGGTGCAAACGAGGGGTCGATGGGTGGCATCTAGTCCACCCAGCACAAGGAGCTCAGACCCCAGCAGACAGAGACAAAGGTTGGCGTGCACCACGCTGCTTGCCCTCCCTCGCACCGCCTTGAACGACAAGAAGCACACCACACACAGAGACAGACTCACCACCGACACCACACACCCTATGATTGTCACACAACGCATCACATAGTACAGTACCTGCCGGAGTAAATTATATAATTGGTCAAGATGGTCAACAATGTGGTGTCTGATAGTGTTGATATCGCCTGACATTATAATGACATTGTTCAGGAGTCATTTTTATCCTGATATCACTGATACATTGATACTACTTCTGACATCTTGATCTTGATACTAACAATGCTACCTTAATACCCGATACTCACATCGGTAGTATCTAGAATGCCGTTAACATCCATGATGACAGCGAGATTGGTGAGGTGGTCACAGTGACACATGGTGTAGGTGGGGTGGGTGTGAGCCACGTGACACCCGTCCTTCGCCCACATGCTGGTGTGTGTATCCCACCATACACACGTCGGTTCCCCCAGTTCAAACTTCTCACCGCTGTACACGTGCTCCAGCTGAACTTCCACCACCTCCCCCAGTGCTGTGGGCGAGGAAACATCTGTAGTACAAATATTTTGTCTAGGGGTAGGGAAGGACCCATGACATAATATATTCTAATTGGTTTACGGAAACATACTACCTGCGTTACATACATTATGGGAAACTCCTACCTTACATGCCTAATGGCCACCCGCTTGAGGTGACCATACCGAGGGAAGGAGGCCAGTGGCTTGTGTAGGATCCCTCCATTCTTCTTAATAGTCTCGTCTAGGGCTATTTTGAAGCCCTCGATTCTACAGCTTAAGCTGGTAGACTATTCCATAGATTTACCACCCCCCTGTGAGAAGAAGTATTTCCTTATATTCGTTCTGCATGATAACTTGGCCCTGGATTATGTTTTCCATCCCTTTCAATATTTTGAATGTCTCTATGAGATCTAACCGATTGCGTCTTGTCAGAGGAGTTGTTAGTCCTAAGGCCCTCAGTCTACTCAGATAATCGAGATGACGTAGTTCCGGAATCATCTTAGTCATTCTAGGTTGCACCTTTACCAAGGATGCTAGCTTATCCATGTATGTATACAATAATCCAGACTGGAACATAAGTGAGATTTATGAAGTTGAAGGAACCTTTTTTTAATATCTTTGTATTCGAAGGTACGCCTTTTCTTTTTCTCTGCTGCCCCCACTTGTTGCGCGCGCTACCTTCAGTGACTGATCTATCACACGCCTAAATCTTCTTCCTCATCAACAGTATCGAGGAAAGTGTTATCAAACTGGATAGTTTTGATTAGGGTTGTTGTATCCTAGGGGCAGTCTTATGTTTTGTAATATCAAAGCTCATTTGTCAGTCTCGAGTCCATTTGAACAGCTCATGAAATCTTTTTGCATGGTTCCGACATCGTCTTGATTTATTACCTTCCTAAATGTCTTCGTGTCATTCACAAACTTGATAATGTGGCTCGATAAATTTTCATCAATGTAGTTTACGTAGATCACAAACAGGGTTGGCCCATGGATAGATCCTTGTAGTACTCCACTAAGAACTCTTTTTCCAGTCTGATTGCAAACTGTTTATGACCACCTTTTGTGGCCTGTCTTTGAGCCAGTTGTTAATCCATTTAATTATTTTGCCTGTAATGCCATGTGCCTGTTTTTCTGAGTTTAGGGGAGGATACACCTGAAGTATTTCTTTCGCCTAGTTTAATGAAGAATACATGGAGTGTGGTGGCCAAGAGAATACAGCTCTCACCTCCTGTCCTATATGTCACTGGTTCGCACCCAGGGCACCATTCTACCAAGATGTAAATGATTACCTAACTTTACAGTTGGGGGAGTGGAGGTGGTCGAGTGCAGTACCAGTCACACTGCTTTCTAATGTACCGAAAGATTGGTATACAGTGTGTTGTATTCACACTATTCACAGTGTCCCTATGAGAACCTACTTTCACTTTCAAAAGAGAATATACACCTGTCCTACCTAGTTTAAGGGAGGATACATATCTGTGGCACCTGTAGTACCTATTTTTAATGGAGGTTATACAACACCGTCACCTGTTTTGTCAAGGCTAGAGAAAAATGCATATAAAGGTAAATAATTTGAGTGAAATATACCGAACAGTGAGACAATTAAATATAGTACCCCCCCTCCAAAAAAAAAAGGCAACAACAACACATAAGGACACCGAGCTGGCAACAGTGAAATTTACAAGGAGGCAGAGATGCTAACAGTGATACAGTATAGTATACCAGGAGACTGAGATGGCAACAGTGACACATATCAGGAGATCGAGATAAGAACAATGAAATACACCAGGAGACTGTAATGACAACAATGAAATACAGTATATCATGGAAGATGGCTACAGTGAAATATACCAAGAGAAAGATGGCAACAGTGAAATATACCAGGAGACTGAAATAGCAACAGTGAGATATACTAAGAAACAATAATGGCACCAGTGAATATAGCATGATACAAAGGTGGCAGCATTTAAATATACCAGAAAGCTGATATGACAACAGTGAAATATACCAGGATATAAAGATGGCAACAGTGAAATATACCATGAGATTGATATGGCAATAGTGAAATATATCAGGATACAGAGATGGCAACAGTGAAATGTCAAGACCCTAATTTGCCATACCTGCAACCCATGTCCCAGTGTCTCCCACGCTGGCACCAATTATGGCACTGTTGACCTGATCCTTGGCCGGAAAGTCACGCTCCGCCTGGACATTATCCTGGTCACTGTAACAACAGGTGGTAGGTCAAAGGCCGAGGACAAGACGAGAAACGAAAGGTATATATATATATATATATATATATATATTGATATTAGAACAACGTCCATGTGCAAAAATAAACAAGAAAAGCAACTTACCTAGTCTCTCTCTCTCTCGCCCTCTCTTGGTAGTGTTATAATAAACCAAGAGGAAATCGGTAACACGTGTTGCTTTAAAAATCTTATATTGTATTACTGAGTGGCCACAATATTTCTGTGGCGCCATGAAGCATGCCAGTATTGCCACTGTGATTTTTGTATCTCAGAAGTTCATAAACTCTGAAATCGTTCCTGGTGGTGATATGATATCCAACTCCCTTGACCTTTGCAATTGTAAGTTATTGGTTGAAAAAATATGAAAGGAAAAAATATATCCTTACCCTGAGTAGGAAGAGACTGGAATAACTTACCAGGGAGCATTTAACTTCCTCTCATTAATATAGTATCAAGGTAAATGCAGAACTTAATTCATCAGAGGAGGGTGTTGGAGTTCAGTTTTGGTTGGAGCAAACGTACACTTACCATGGGAGGGTGCCGGAGGTGCAGTGTAGGTCAGTGTAGGATAGAAAGACCACCTTAACAGAGGTGAGGCGTCTTACGTAGCCTCTGTAGAATCTGTAAGGGAGGGTGAGGGAGGTGAGGTTGTAGTGAGGATGTGTATACCTCCTCTCTTCCACATGTGAGAAGTACGCCGGTGGCTGCTGGATCACCTGCACATCTGTAATTCACAAATACACCTTAGTACTATATACACCACATCTTTACCTCTACAATATAATTATGTAAAGTCACCTACACTTACACCTGGTATAGTAGTTGGCAAGTTTTGTGAGAATTGCCAGCAATGTGTTTGGTGACGTCGTAATATATTGAGGTGAATGGGCAGAAGCAACCTCTTTATAGTGATCAGATAACAGTGTGAAGAAATTATGTATCCTCTATCTGAGAATGCTGATACTTCCTGTATGACTATAGAATACATTCTGATTTCCAAATATAATGACATTGCCTTCAATCTGATAAAAGTTGGATGGAGGTAGTGGTGACGAGGTGGTGTGACGTAAGGAGGCAGGGATGGGGCCATGTGCTGGGGGTTGTGGAGGAGGAAGGATGCACCAAGTTCTTTTGTGAAGGCAACCACATCATCATATCACCGTCTTATTTACAGTATGGTAACACCAAAGTATTTGTTAGCACATATAGTCACTGAAATCATCACAGTAAACACAAAAGCTTGTACATTTTTTACTTAAAAGGTTTACAATAATGTAAATATTAAGTCTGAAAAATCAAACTCCCATCGAACGATGTAAACACATCTTAACAATAGAGGTTCAACGTCGAACAGCAGCCTATTTACTTGTACAGTAATTACAGGGAACTTGTCAAGTTTGAGAGTGATGCTCAACACGCATAGGTAACCTACCTAATTTGTTCTTCGTAAATTTCCTGATGGGGACCTTATGACGGTGGGCGAGGATGACAGCAGCAGAAGTGAGGGAAGCCTGTAAGTGTGTTGAGGTAGAGGCGCGCTCTTCCATGGGGAGGCCCCACCATATCTCCGGCCAAGTTAACATGCTGTTTGCTGCTACCATCATCCCGTCCATATACACCTGTAACCATACATCTGTTCAAGGGCAGGTGTTAGCAGGATGTGTGTGTGTGTGTGTGTGTGTGTGGACAATACTGTATACATAAAGTGTGAGTGCTTGGCCAAGTGAAGAAAACTGAATCTAATACAAATAAAGGTATCAATATAAAATTATAAAATCTCCGTGAGACAAAAGTTCCTCATAACAGCTTAATATAGCGTTCGTGAGAGTTGGTCTTCAAGTGTCATGAACAGACAGACAGATGGAAACATATATAGAAATACACAAACAGATACAGGCAGAGGCATACATAAAAAAAAGACAGATAGATGAAAATTATATCATATCACTCATTAGCAGTGCCGGATTTAGACCTGTGGAGGCCCATGGGCAGCCTCTTTGTGGAGGCCCCCCTCTTTATAATTACCCAAGAGGGTGGGGTGGCGAGTGAAGCGAGCCTAAACATCTGGGAGTTCCGGGGGCGCTGTAAGCCCCCGGGAAAATTTTGAAATTTGAACACTTTTTTGGAGAATTTTGAAGACATATGCAGTTAAAATTGAGGAAATTAGAACATTGAGAAAATTTTAATTAACTGTATATTTATTGATAGTGTACAAATTCCCAACACACACACACACACACACAAAAGTGAGACATGACTGGAGACGTGGTGGAATAGATAAACATGAATTTTAAAGAATGAAAATAAAAATAATCCAAATGAATAAACAAATAAATAAAATATTGTAATATGTGGAAGCCCCCAGATTGTGGAGGCCCCTGGGCAGCTGTCCACTTTGCCCACTCCTGAATCCGGCCCTGCTCATTAGTCACACCCAATTATACCTTAGCCAAGTTGAGGGCCTCCTTTAGGGTGTGTGAGCGTTCCAGGTCCTTCTTGTGCTTGTCACTGAGGCGCTTCAAGATATGGGCCAGGGTGAGGAGGTCTCCAGGGGCCAGGGAAATGTTGTGCAGGCTACGGGACATGCTGTTTAAGATCTCTGCTGCTGTAAAGTTCTTCCCCTCCTCCATAGCCTCCTCCCAACCCCCAAAGATTACCGCATGACACTGGCTGTGGAGGATTAGGTTAAATTAGGATGGGATACAGTAGTCGGGGTTTAGAGAGGCTTAGTGGCACAATGAAAGAGTGAAAGCATAAGACAATTTAATCCTTCTTGGTGATTACTGTAGTTTTACATTAAACAGATGACCTATCATCTAGATATTCATATTTTTTTATTTTATTTGGTTATACTTAGTCATATTATAAATACTAAATGGTTGGGGTGGCGTTATTTACTTGAGTACGGGTGTTCTCTCCCAGGAACCATCTTGGCTGCATGTCCAAGTGGCAGTGCCATTGGTACCACTCGGGCATGGGATGACCAACGTGTCCCCGGCCTGTGTCTCCCTCAGCCACCAGCTGTATGCTGGCCCTTGATCCAAGTACCGCCTCTCACCCCGTGGACATGTTTTACCTGGTTAATTACCAAAACAAAGAATTAATATCAAGCCTATCACAGTTAGACTCATTATGAAATTATTTAAACTACTGAGATATGTGACTTAATCATTCAATAGCATATGCACTGACAATTTCAATGGTGGCACAATGATTTTACAAAGATATTTTTGTCTAATAAATTGAGCAAAACTTCGTAGATTGAAATAAATGTCGCCTTACAACTTCATGCTATGAATATTAAAGTCAATGTTGATTATCATAGCTTTCTATCCATATTTACCAGAGTTATGACCATATTTTAACCTATAATTTTTGGGGGTGGGCACCCTCTAGCATTCTTCCTCTACCATACAACATCATACTCCTCACACCAGTTGCATACATCTTTCACCTGAAGGGAAGGTCCTCTTGCCGTCAAAAACGGCAACAACTCCATTAACTTCCTTAAGCCATTTCTGACTCTTGCAACTAACCTCACCTCAGCACTATCCCCTGCACTGAGCATGTCATTCAGTGACTCAGGTAGTATAACTCATCAAAATAGTCCAGGGATATATCACCAATGTTAAGTTTTCCCAGCTTTGTTATGACCGCATGATTTCCTGTGCACACTTAACGTTAGCAACATTCTGCAGTCTGCCATTTACACCATTGCACCTCTTGTGTACCCACCTTCCACACTTATTGCACATTAATTACTGAGTTGGTGTCAACACCTTTCTTGCAGACAGCATATGGCCATTTTCCACCCACGCCACTAATCAATATTTTTGTTTTCGCCACAATCACTCTCGTGTTCTTGACTATATTCCATCCTTCCATTAAGTAAATTTCTCCACTGCCACTGCAATACTATCTGCTATCATCATTAAGATGACAGCATACCACAACTCCCAGGGCAGATCAGTCCTAAAAGTTTCATAACCTGAACTAAGAGCTTCAGGCCCTAGAACATGATTGTAAAACCAAAGTTTTTTCTTACATGGTCACCAATAGCTCAACTAGATGAGTTCATACCATTACTACATACTTTATCCCTTAAAGATATTATTAATCAAATTGTATTTATAATGCAAAAACAAATAATTACAGTATCTTAACATGATTAAGACATTTTAATTGGATGAGAATGACAATCTGAGGCATCCATAAATTCAGTCTAAGGAGGACAATACGATAACCATCTCTTGTCAAAAAGCTTAAGTTCACTAACACTTTCCTTAATGATGAGACCCTCACCTTTCTCAGTAGCGTGCACCTTCTTGGCCAGGTGTTGGAATCTATTGCGGCTACATGGCTTACTGGCATGACCTGTAAAAAACAACAGTACTGGCCTTATACTTAGGTTACAGTCAGGCTAGAGTATGTTAGATTACGTTTTGTTTTGTTACGTTGCATTGATTATGAAATATGTAAAAATAAACAATACCTATAGACACTCCCACTGTACAACACACCTTAGAGCACGACCAACTCACACCACGCCTTAGAGCACGACCAACTCACACCACACCTTCGAGCACGACCAACTCACACCACACCTTAGAGCACGACCAACTCACACCACGCCTTAGAGCACGACCAACTCACACCACACCTAGAGCACGACCAACTCACACCACACCTTAGAGCACGACCAACTCACACCACACCTTAGAGCACGACCAACTCACACCACACCTTAGAGCACGACCAACTCACACCACGCCTTAGAGCACGACCAACTCACACCACGCCATAGAGCACGCACACCTTAGAGCACGACCAACTCACACCACCACGCACGTAGAGCACGACCAACTCACACCACGCCTAGAGCACGACCAACTCACACCACGCCTTAGAGCACGACCAGCTCACACCACGCCTTAGAGCACGACCAACTCACACCACGCCTTAGAGCACGACCAACCACACCACGCCTTAGAGCACGTAGAGCACGACCAACTCACCACACAGCACGCCTTAGCACGACCACGACCAACTCACACCACGCCCACGACCAACTCACACCACGCCTGAGCACGACCAACTCACACCACGCCGACCAACCACACCACGCCTTAGAGCACGACCAACTCACACCACGCCTTAGAGCACGACCAACTCACACCACGCCTTAGAGCACGACCAACACACAACACAACTTAGAGCACGACCAACACACAACACGCCTTAGAGTACTAGACCAACACACAACACAACTTAGAGTACGACCAACACAGAACACGCCTTAGAGTATGAACAACATACAACGCCTGGAGGTACTCACTTTTGTAGATGTCGAGGATGGTGGTGAGGTTGGTATCCCGGGCATATTGTACCGCAGTCCTCCCTGTATAAAGAATTAACACATACCGGTCAAGAATTTTATATCTTCATTATACAGAGTAATGATAGTGTCCGTAGCATTCCACATAACAGTCTACTTGACAGTGTTATTATCAATTACCTGAAATCAATGAGTGATATTTGGTCTAGGATATTATAATAATGAAAACCAAAATTAATGGTGTTAATGATTGCAATAACACTACTACTACTACTACTACTACTACTACTACTACTACTACTACTGCTACTACTACTACTACTACTACTACTACTAATAATAATAATAATAATAATAATAATAATAATAATAATAATAATAATAATAGTATAATCTGGCCAGACTGGATAGAACATAGTGCTCACCTCTATTATCAGGCAGCCTCAGGTCTGGACAATATATTAATAGCTCCTTCACCTCCTGGTCAAACTTCCTTATGGTGGCGAGGAACACGGGGGTGCTGCCTAAGATAACAACAATTTAATTGTCAACATATAATAAAACCTATAATATATATATATATATATATATATATATATAATATATATACATATATGTATATATATATATATATATATATATATATATATATATATATATATATATATATATATATATATATATATATATATATATATATATATATATATATATATATATATATATATATATATATATATATTTTTTTTTTTTTTTACTGTACATAGTGTGTGCATGTTAACTCACCTCGTTTGTCCTGGACGTCAATATCAGCACCATAGTCAATTAGCGTCAACATTACCTCCAAGTGGCCCTGCCAGGCGGCCAGGTGTAGCGGCGTCTGACCTGTGGGAGTAGCGGAAGGATATCAGAACACTACTATCTGTAAGGTGTTAGTACTATCGGTGGGGTAATGCTATTAATATGTCACGAATCTGGCACTTTGGCCTGGCACTTTGATTAAATATTATAGCCTCTTGCTGACCTTGTATGTCGGTGACGTTGACGGAGGCGCCAGCTTCGAGAAGTGCCCGGACTGCCTCCTCCTGCCCGCTGTAAGCCGCCATGTGAAGCGCTGTCTTACCTGAGGAGGAACACCTGCATGAGTTACGGTGTTCAAGTTATTATTATTATTAGTAGTAGTAGTACTGTACTATCATCAGTATTATCATTATTACTATTAATATTGCTATTATTATTAGTAGTAGTATTAGTATTAGTATCAATATTAAATTATTATTAATAGTCGTAGTAGCATTGTTGTTATTGTTATTATTATTATCAAACGCAGATTCAAGGCCCTCGATGAAGTTCAAATGATTAAAACTAGTCTGATAAAAACTAGTGTAAAATGTGAATCCGACAAGTATGCAGCAGTGTCATAATAAACAACACAAGGAAACCGTTACAGCATGATAAATAACAGGATTCAGATATAAGCACCATTATAAACACAAAGAAAATAAGTGAAGCTCGATTATTAATGGTATTCGGAGAGTAGTACCATAACAAAGAGGAATCTACCTACCATGACTCGGGTCTGGAGTCTCGAGTGGAGCGTGATAGTCTACCAGTAGCCTCACCATCTCCTCTTGTCCCATGTTTGCTGCGTTGTGCAGTGCCGTCCACCCTGTTGATCACCACTGTGTTAACTTCATCTTTACTCGGTCATATAATAAACTTACCTTGTCATACACCATCGATAAACAAGCTTACTGTGTCAAACGTCATGTGGGACAGGAGAAAACTTGTTTGTCACTGATGTTTGGCAAGATGAGAGGAATTACGAACATATACTAGGGTGTTACGTTCACCCCTGTCACTCATCAACACAAATGCTTCACCTAGACTGACCTGAACTGTTCCTGTCTCACCTAGACTGATCTGAACTGTTCCTGCTTCACCTAGACTGACCTGAACTGTTACTGCCTCACTTAGACTGATCTGAACTGTTCCTGTTTCACCTGGACTGACCTGAACTGTTCCTGCTTCACTTACACTGACCTGAACTGTTCCTGCCTCACCTACACTGACCTGAACTGTTCCTGCCTCCCTTAGACTTGCCTCACCTAACTAGCTCCACCTAAGCTTTCCTCACCAAACTAGTCTTACCTAGCAGGCCTCACCTATACTGTCGGTGGCGCTAACATTGGCACCATGACGTAGCAGCCTCGCGGCTCTCTTCAGTGACTTCAGCTTGACCGCGTCCACCAGATTCAGGGCTGGGGAAGACAGAGGGAGTGAGATAACGGCAGAGAAAGTGAGATAACGAGAAGGATAAAGAGACAACGGGAAGGATAATGAGAACGGGAGGGTTAGTAAGAGAGAACGGAAAGGTTAATGAGAAAGGGAGGGTTAGTGAGAGACAACGAGAAGGAAAATGAGAACGGGAGGGTTAGTGAGAGAGACAACGGGAAGATTAATGAGAACGGGAGGGTTAGTGAGAAAGATACAGAGACACAACACATGGATACAATATTGAAACTGCTTTTATTATCTACAAGAGATCAAGTGCGGGGAAACCATCATGCACACACACACACACACACACACACACACACACACAATACGTAATTAATTTAGGTTTTAACACCTGTGAAATAAGAATAATAGTATAATAAACACATATGTATCACAAGCTGCTCATTTGGCGCTTGTCTTGTCTTGTGAACATCAAGACCGAGTCAGTCACAGTGCCGGTGTAAGTGATTAACAGTAAACCTCTACGAATAGTACTCCTTTATTTCGTTTTGTGAGAGAGAGAAAGAGAGAGATAGAGAGAGAGAGAGAGGGGGGCACCAACAGTACTCACCTCCATCAACCAGAGGGCAGATGAACAACACCGTCAACAGTAATATGGCCATCATCGTCTTCACATTCAGTAACCGGGGAGGGATCGGTGCTCCTAATGGGGTGTAATGGCTGCTAGCTTGTTGCAGCTTCGCCATCCACCACCACCTTGAGCTGCTGCTGCGCCACCACATGAGCTGTACCTGCAAGAAAATATTTACCAAAGTTTAATCATTAGACTTTGATATTTATGTTTACCAAATGACTTCTCGTTAACCAGATGACTTTTAGCAAGCTACTCCACAGAGGGGAGGACAAGATTGCTACACAAGCTATATCGTATATTTCACAGCCTTTGCACAGTGTTATTTTCAGCCCGTATTTTTACCTGAAAACTCATATATTGAACTTTACTAAAAAAAACATAGTATTGAATTCTTCCAAACAAAATATATATTACCTAGCAAGTTATATCAATTATTACATGAGAAAATAACATATGTAACCTTTACCGAAATATGTATCATTATGTACCAAAACGTTACCAATATGCTACTGTAAATATTATAATGGGCTAAAAGAACTACAAACATTACGAAGCGAATGATATATTCAAAGATAAAGTAACACACTATTGAGACAAAAGGTTCATCACAAATATGACAACGCGGTCCTTTAACTGATCCAGCTACTCGCTACATTATAAACTTTATTCACCTCAGTAAAATAATATTCACTATTGTTCGCTGAAACACAGATGAGAGAGAGAGAGAGAGAGAGAGAGAGAGAGAGAGAGAGATCTATTTATTTAGTAATGTGGATATTCTGTATAGCCATGTATGTGTGTGTGTGTGTGTGTGTGTGTGTGTTTCCGATGTAGTGTCATCATTGTAAATTATATACTAAGAGGAAGTTATTACCCTGTTTAAATAATACCTTAGCGAAGTATTGTCCTTGAGCGGGAATCATTCGGGTAATTTTTTGTAGGATGCTGATGATGCAGGAATTATAAGCTATGACAATTGATGTTATAATGTATTATTTTCTAAACTTTAACAAACAAGTTCTTTAAGTGCGTAACCCAAATTATCAGTTCATTAGTCATCAATATGTGGTGAGTGAGGTTGTCCTTGAGAGGGAACATGTCTTGTCTTGGTGTTTATTTTTATTTTATTTTTTCCTTCAGTTGCGACACTCGTCCCTGACCGTTGGCCCTCCACCCTTACCTCTGCCTCAAATTCCTTGTTAATTCATTTCCTAGATAATAATAATATTACCTGAAGAGTGTTTACTTTCTTATATTTTCTATTTAATTCATGTGTCATCGGTATGGCCACACTAACTCTGAAGTGATTCCCTGCTATTAATTTATATCAACAAGGGATCAGTCTAATGCCAACACAAGTTATTCAGGTACAGACAGAACGTCAGCCGCTCTCCAACTGGTCCAATTTTTTATGTCATAGTTATCCAAGGCATGATTTAACTTTTCCTTATTTGTGTATTGTTATTCGTTATTTAAGTTATTTAATGAAACTGGTAATAAATAATATACAACGCTCCTCTCCTATCCTAAAGGTCGCTTGTTCGTACCTGAAGCACTCCCAGTCCACCCAGCTGTGATTGAGTGCGGTGCTCGGTACGCTGCCTACATGTGAATTAAAAAAAATAGTTAATATTGTGCTGTACCCACACTGCCATCAGAGGACTGTCAGGTTTATGGGACCTACTTTCGCTTTCATACAGTGTGTACAGTTGAAAAAAATGCTGTAAACAGAACCACTAAACCTTTGAACTATATTGTATTCATATCTAAAGCAGATTGACGCGAACAAACTATACCTAACTAAAACTGCCCTAAGCTGTGATCTAAGCATGTTGTTATGTTTGGTGTTGATACCAAATAAAGTAAAACAGTGACTTTTTGCAATCATTAAACTCTATAAGCTGCATCAAGTCGCTTTTATTTACTCCCCCTACCCCCCCAAAAAAAAACCTGACCTAGTCGTTGTTTTCTAGACGATGACGACATAAAAACATACCAATACAAAGCACGGCTGACGTTCTCTGTCCAGCCGCGAGTCACCTTTGGCCACATCAACATTCCTTACATAGCTTGACTCAATCACCTGGCAGGGAGGGGAGGGTGTGGGGCGGTTCCCTCTACAAAAACACAAACACTCAGTATTCACATATCTTAACGCCCTGAAAAGTTCAATACAAACAATTCATCATATAACGGAGTATGATGCAGAAGTATGTTAAAAAATACTTTGGTATAGGAAGATTTGTGCGGTAAGCTTCCTGAAATGTTTAATTTCATTATCTCCACTCTTACGTTGCGTGCCATAAACGGGAACTTTCACTGTTGGTACCTCGCTGGCACGCCTTACCTGTACCCATCTCCACACCTGTACTCATCTCCATACCTGCACTCATCTCCACACCTGCACTCATCTCCACACCTACACTCATCTCCACACCTGAAGTTAGTTATCTCCGCTTCTGGAGTTATTTATTTTCACACCAGTAGTTAATCATTTCCACAACTGAAATTAGTTATCTCCACACCTGTAGTTAATTATTTCCACAACTGTAGTTATGTACAGGTATCTCTGCATGTATATTTAGTTATTCCTAGTGTAACCATGAACTCGCTCCATAAAGTATAATTACGATTTTTGTGAGACAATAATGACACAACGGACGAAGGATTTTGACAACCCTACCGAGAAAACAGAAGTGTTCAGGAGAGCCATGTACACTATACGCTATGTCTCAAGTACAGAGTTTACCAGTGGCGGATCCAGGGGGAGTCCTGGGGGTCCGAACCCCCTTTTCATCTGAAATTTCTAAACTTTTTCTTTCATGCAGCATTGTACTCAGGCGTTTTTTAATATTAAAAGTAATTACTAATGACCCCAGAATATCTCCTAGTATCAAGTGCACATGGCCTCAAAATGCCCATGATATTGGTGGGTGGGCTCGCTGTGCTCGCCATGTTTCCCCCACCCACAACTTCTTAGACTCCCTCGTTTTGATATTCCCGGATCCGCCCCCGCTTGTGTACAGTACAGGGTAACCGATTAGTACATTACGACCCCTGTACAGCAGAACAATGCACAGTACTGTATAATCTAAGGCTAAAAACATTGCATCAATGCAGCATTCAATATCTACCACTTGCAATGCAGACTGACCAAGTATAAACCAGCCGAGAATTAAACCAAGCGTACAAACTAGCCAAGCACTGTACAAGCACACATGTGGACTATCCAAGCACTGTACAAGCACACCATGTGGACTAGCTAAGCACTGTACAACACCTGTCAGGCACGGAGGAAAAATCCTGTTTGGAGAAATCCGTGACGTCCTTCAGGTGAGGTGAGCGGGGTCAGGCCTCGCCCAGGGGACTCGGGTCATCCACGACACTAACGGTGAAGCTGACATGACCTGACCCATGACTGCCTGCTTTCTTCATATGCGAGGCCAACCGGGAAATAAATTTTATTTCACCATCGAGTGTCTTGAGATTGAGAAAATAAGTCGCTCAGGAGAATCTTTAGCCGAGTGCATTAAATAAAATTCTAGCCTAACGCATACGGGAAAATAATCGGCCACTAGCTTATTAAATCTTACCAGGGTGCATTATATTATTCTGTAGCGTCATGTACTTACCAAACTCTTAATCTTAGCCATCCCATAAAATTCTGGCCCAATGGATTCAGTTAAACCCTGGCTAAATGTATTCACTGCAATCCTAACTTTACGCAGTCAATGAAATCCTAGAGAATTTAACGCGACCTTAGTCAAGAGTAAACCATCGATTTGTATTCAATGAGCTTCTGACGCCGTGCAAAGGGTAACGTAACGCACAATAACGTGTCCAGCATAATCATAACAAAACGCAAAGTATAAATCATTCGATTAAATTCCAAACTATCTTAAAATATATGAATATAAAACAGAATAACGCATTCAATAAAAGTGACCTAACGCATCGTATTTAACGAAACGCATTCATTATAATTCTTCCACCACAAAATGATGTGTCCTACATATCCCTCATCGTGACGGTGACATTTCTAAAGTCACTCGCTCAGTCTTATCACATTTTACAGCTGATGTATATAAATGAAGCAATACATTGAACATTATACTTATAAAAACAAAACCGGATATCGCTCCACACCTTTGTTCTGTACTGTGGAGGATCACGGGGGTCGCACGACGGCATCGAGTCCCATTGTATACCAGTTATCACGGTTACTGCTGCAGGTTATGCCGTTATCCTAGCTCCGGCATACATCTCCTCCAGGACTTGTACATCTTTCTCAATGAAACAAATTAATTTACTCATCGGAAGATCTACTGTAGAATTTCAGGTTTAGAGGGACAAAAAACGAAACTGTGCCTGGACCCCTCTTTCCTCCTCCATGTTTCAATTACTGGATTTTACTTTTGTCTCAATTACACTACTGTAGGTCATCGGGTAAGCCTTCTTCCTTCTTTTAATCGCCTTGTACGTACATCTCCAATTATTCCACCAATATAAAATATCCTAAACATGAAAACCACAAATACTGTAGTAGTACACATAACTCATTGGTTGAGCTTTCCTCGCTGGGCTCTGCTAATGAACTCACGTCCACGACGTATCACCACTGACCTACTTGGTGGCCCCATACCAAACAAACGAAACAGCCCTAAAAATAAATAAATAAAATTCATTACTGCAATATTCGTGGCTGGAGCACCAACATTGACCCCATTCACTTCCACTTACAATCAGCTAAACCTGATTTACTCTTCATTACATTTCCTTCTCCCCAATATCTCACTTCATCTTTCCTGTTTACGGCATCTTTTCAAATAAAAAATGGTGGTTGGCTCTGCTGCTGTTCATAACTTTACGGTTGAGGAAGCGAAAAGCAGTAAGTTCAGTGTTAGCCACACTGCCTCCATTTGAACCGTAGGCTTGGTCTTCAGGCCTATGAAACCCACTTACACAAAATGGTAAGATAAAGTGACTTTATTTTTGTTTAGTCAATATGATTCCATATGTTAGGAAAAGAATTTAAACCATAAATGCAACGTCGAAAGATGAGCATTTTTTACTTAGGTTTACTAAAGTAAATTTAAAAGACAAAAGGCAATGCTGATTTGACGTGTTTAAGTTGGCATCTATAGGTTAAAGTTATCA